TCTTTCTTCAGCCATAACAATGGTGCCAGCGAAAACAGTAATTAATGCTCAGGGAGAATGAAGTGACATCAAAGTCCCATAGCGTAGGCGAACGGGGTGGTTGAACGAAACGTTGCAAGTAGGCTTCGATGATGCCAATTTTCTTCAAGGACTGACTGATTTTTTATGAATATCTCAGATTTTTTTCATTTTCGAGGCAGGATTTTTTTCCACCTTTCCAGTCAGCACCGATCCAACTCGATACTGTCTATCGAGTTGGATCGAATCGAGTAACTAGGTAACATTTACGAAACGCTTCTGATTCGAATTGTGAGCACGTATCTGCAAGGCAAGATGGAAGTGCCTCCCATTCATATGAGTAAAGCGACTTGGTGGATCCGACTCGTGTGCTAGAGAGAAAGCCGCGGAGAAGCGTCTGTACTTTTCTGAAGTTGAGCAAATTGTCAAAGAGGGGCGTAGTTTTTTCTAATTAAAACGGCAAATAATAATAATGTCGGCCTGCCGAAATAAATACGCTGTTCATCAGCGTACTCCTGACCGTTTTAGGGCCCTGAGTTGTCCGTATCTACCTTTCCAATGAATGGAACACCGCTTTACACGCACTTTCCTTCCGTTTCTATGCAGTCAGGCCTCCTTTCTTCTTTTGTCGAAGTCCTTGACGCTGACGCGGCGGTAACAGCGACGGTTTTGATTCAAACGGCCATTGAATTACTGTCGTTCTTATGCGATCGCCGCGTTATTGTTAGTTGTGTTTGTGCTACGACCGCTGCTGCTGTTTCAGCCGTTGTTGTTATTTCAGAAGTGAGTGCGCTCCAATGCAACAGTGGATTATATGCCGGTGCGATCGACCCTGTGCGTAGCGACAGCATCTTATTGTATGCACTACAGTTAGTGATAATGGCAAAACACTTCGATAAATATTAATCGGTCGAGTACAATAAACAACTTGTGATTGAAACATTGAGAAATCGTCGCGAGTATTTCTGTGTGTGTGTGTCCGTCCTCGTATGACTGCAAAAAAAGAAAGGTGTGGAATAGAAGATTAGCAATTCATTCTGGATAATGGCAAATACCAACGGAAAAAGTCATATTGTATAAGAAGGATAGGAGGTGGCATGCCACGCATCGTCATCACCTTCAGCCAGCATTAGTTGCTCCTGAAAATTATGATCTTGTTCGCGTAGGTATCTATGTATGTTGACACAGATGATAAAATGTTTAGTTTTCGTGATCTCTGGCGTGGCAGACTAGAGCGAATATTCAGAGAGCTGACGCATTTGTGCACTGGCTGTTAAACAGCGAATCCTTAAGGTCTCGAAAGCTTTCAGAGTGCTTTCATTCTCTGTCAGCTTGAATACGGTGGAACGACAGTCGTCTTTGTCTGAGTTGACAACGAGGATAAATAGGATACGATTCCCTTCTAGGATTGGAAAATCATTGTTCATTAGTACGCATGCGTAGCGGCTGACGTTAAGGCATGCAATAGATTTGAGTATAAAATACATTTTTGGACTTATTACAGAGATGCACTGAGTCCGTCTGTTCTTGTATGTTAACATTTAACCCCTCAAATGGTTATGCTTAAAATAGCTGAAATAGGTTTAAGCGAGAAATTTCTCAGTATCTCCAATTGAAAGCGCTTGTACGGGTTGAACTGCTGTCGGCAATGATAACGTAACTAGGCCTGGAATCGATCGTACAAAAAGATGATTTGTGCCGGTCGGTAACCGCGAAGGCATCCGAAATTCTGGTCATTGACATAATATCACAGCTTTCGGTCGGTCTGTTACTTGCAGTGGTGAAGCTAAAGGAAGCAGGCATTTTTTTGCAGAAAGTTGTTTTTCTTTGTGGTGCTTTGGGTGCACCTGGCGAACCCTAGCGTGTCTGTGACGCGACGTTTGCATGAAACAACTTCCATGCTATATATTCGACATACGGCAAACGTCTAGCAACGTCCTTCATTAACACCGACCACGTATCTAGTAACGGATGCAAAATTATGCATGTATTTGTTAACGGTAAAAACTATTCATTTTTTTGTTTACGTTCTATCTGGGCCATCGCATCGATTCCAGATTCACGACCAATTAAATATTTGCCATATTGTACACAAGCGTATTAACAATATGTTTTTCTTACTATTGTTTTTTAATAGATAGTGGCAAACTCCTATAGTAGACATACACATTTAGGTAGATACTTGAGACGCATGGATTTTGGGCTCCTACAATAAGCTATCTATGACTGAAGCTATAAAGAAGTCCTGAAGCAGACTGAATCGGGGGAACTGAGTGGTGCACTGACGTAATTCAACGTTTGTCAAGTGGTTATTTGTTATTGTTACTGATACGAATGGATAGACAGACAACGGAAGCATGTGAACCCGTGGGTCAGTCCCGTAACGTCTATACACGTCTTAGCGTAAAACGCCAACGAGGACTACAAATAGAGCTTTCTTTACGGTAGAGAGCGAATAGCTTCATGGTCAAAATTACCACTAGTGCTACTGTTAATAATTATTATACTATTCCGGCCAGCGATTCCCATTGCCCTGTCTTCCAGATTCTACAATATGAGCCATTGCTAAAACCGTTAAGCTAATAAGCCGTGAAGCAGCCGTTCGTTGTCCAAGAGACGAACGAATTGACAATGCTCCAGCCACCGCAGCAGAGATTTGTTAACCCGTCCGTTAGTTGCCCTAAGCACTGATCGCTGGGGCTCTCTAATAGTGGTCTGACTGTAATCGCTGCAGTAGTCATTGTGTCCGTATCGTAAAGCTGAAGTAGAGGTCGACTCCGGCCGATGCCAATGTTGTATTGGCTGAGCGCTGCTGAGCTGAAGCATCAGCCGCAGCAGTAGCGTCGAGATGAAACGAAACGGCGGTCTGCCCTAAACCGACAGACGAACGAACGAACAAGCGAACAAACGGGCCGGGGTGGGGGGGCCCCCACCTCCTAGGGGTCCTAGACGAACCCTGGCATGATCAGCACAAGCACAGCTCAGACTAATGTTACGGCTCTTGCTGTTTCGAGCGAACGTTACGGAATAACTGGTGGCGACGACTAGCTAGCTGCACCATGTGTCACTTTGTGTACTTTTACTATATTGTTGATGTTATCGTTGTTGCTGCTGCTTCTGCTACCGTTGTGGAAAGAACGCTTTGAGCCCTGTTGATTGTTATTGTTGTTAGCGCGAGTATATTGGTGCGTGTATCTATCTGTGTGTGAGCTTTGTCGACAAACCGCAGGAGCAACCGGCTAACTGGCGTTGAATCTGAACTGATAGACAGCTCAGACAGCGCTGGCGTTGACTCGTGTTGGTGTGACTTGACGGCGTAAAAGCGTCAGTTCACTTCATCACTGACTTCTACTGCGATCGTGGTACAGTTTGTTGCTACAGCATAGCTGCCATCGCTTATACTTCAGACGCAAGTTCCCGGTAATTGCTGCGGCGGCTGTCACCGTTACCAGTGCAGCAATGTAATTCGACGTTACTGGTGCTTTGCAAAAATCGACACTTTTGCAGGACGTCTTTTGAAGAGATTCTTTTTGTTCTACTCATATCATCGCTCACATACCGCTCATTGAATCAGATACTGATACGTCGTGAGCTGACTTTAATGATGAGCACACGCGACCCTATTGATGGACGCCATTCCGCCTCCTACACTGTCCTCAAAACTTGCAACGTGCTATAATAACCTGCTTGCAAACTTTGCCCTGAGGAGCAGAAAAAGGGAAACTAAGATTGGTTCGTCGAGTTCTGTTCAAGAATAATATGATGCTAAATAAAGAGAAATGTTTCACTACGTATATAAGCTGAATATCGGCTATTGACCTTTAATGAGTTTTGTAAAAAAACAAACGATGTCCAGGCTACTGTTACTTCGGCTAGGCGCGTAGTATTTGTATATAATAATAACAATAATAACAACATCTCAAGCCGTTGTCCAGTTTTTTTTTTTTCACGTTAAGACAAATAGTCGTTTCTCGTCATCAGTATCCGAATGAGATCAATTAATCTTGGCATGTGCGTTCGTAATATTTATATTACTCATGCTTCAGCGATGTCGGTACCGTAGCTCCTGATATCCTAGAAAATTTTGTTTCTCCATTAAGAAAATGCAAAAAACCACAGAATAATACGATCAATCACTGAGAAAAAATTATTACTTTTCACACTGTGTGTGCATTTTGTCAATGTTTTTCGTTTAGACTCCATAAGCAAGTGGCTGTTGGCTATTTCTATTATATATATTTCATTATACAATAGTTGTGATACTGACTCAAATGTATTATTCAGCTAAGAGTTTATTAACTAAACAGTATTTAAAATAAACATAGTGGTGACTAGGTATTTCGGCTTGACGCTTGCCGGACGGAACGCGCTCGTAAACGGCTTCTAGGTGGTTTTTTCATAGTCGACCGATTAAAAGTACAGCCATTGAGAAATGTTGCTGGATACGTCAAGACTAGAGAGATTCTATATCGAGTAATTGCGAAAGGCCACTCTAATAATGCGAAGTGGTTGATAGCTAAAGGAAAGTAGTAGTAGTACTAGGTTTTTCTAGGTAGTTAACATTTTATAAAATACGTTTATCATGAATAACTTTTTTTGGCGCTTAAACTAAGATTTCTTAATTGTAGTAAACAAACAATTTAGCTTCGATACGTTTGTGGCTCAGTGTACAACCCAAACAAGGTACAGATTTTAGGGTGATGTTATTGTGCCTTCTTCACACATCCTCTACATTATTATAACAGCAATCAACAGCTAAACATGATAGCTTAGGCAGATGATTTGTCACACTCTAAAAATTGTTAAGTAGATACTAGTATAACAGGTGCAAGTTGTATGCAAGTTGTTGATAAATTCATTAGCACAGCTTCATACTGATTTGACCTTATCTTTTTTTTTATTTGACATGTGTTCTTTGTCAACGTCATCGATACATCGATGTCTGTATCCGGTGAAAATGATGATGGGGGCGGTGACTTCAGTGGGCCGGTGGTGACAGGCGGAACCGAGGAGAGGGCCCCTTCGCGTGTTCGCGTGCACTTCTTTGAGAGTGGCGCCGTCAAGTGTCCCTCGGCTACCGGCGGCAGCAGTGCAGCAATGGACGTCAGCGTCGACGGCCAGCTGTTCAATGGCAACGCCAGCAACAGCTACTTCAGGGAGACTCAGCAAACTCAGCAGCACGTATTCACCACTAGCACGCCTAACGGTACCAGCGTGCGAACCGTCACGTATACTGCAAGGCAGAGGTAAGCCAGTCAAAAAAGGGATCTGTCCGCCTTTTTTCCCTGGGGTTGGTGGGGGTAAGGAAAACCTTCCGGAAGAAAGGCGTAACGCAGGGCTGTTGTTCGGCTACGGTTGGCTACTGCTTTTACCGTTTTTCCTTGCGTGCACTCTTCATTTAGGTAGCCTTATTAGCCTGGCGGTTGGTTTGTTTAGATTACACATCTATTCATCTTCTGTTGACCATATAGGAATCTCGCAGGTAGAAATCTCCAGACTTGAAAAAAGTAACCACTTTCATATTAGACACCTTGCATGGTAGGTTCATTGGAAGGCAAGATTTCACGAGTTTATTAGAGTTACTTGTAAAAAAAGCAAGTTGACTTTGTCAAAAGCGGCTGCCGCTTCCTGTTTCATATCCGATAGAGGGGTATATCTGATAAATGTCAGTCTTTTTCAGTGATTTTCCGCGAAGTCTTTCTTGACGGTTTTTTAGCAAGATCTTTGAGCTAACGTCAAATATACGATTTCGTTATGGCTAATAGTATAGGAAACAACGATCCTAAGTCGTATTCAGGGCATACTAGGAAAGCATTTTTTGTATCGGTAATGAAATATGTTCCCGACAGATTGATCTGGAATTTGCTGTACTACTTTTGCCATGATGTGGTATTTATCGAGTACTTTCGACGGTCAATTGAATAGCACTTGGGGATACGATGTTGCAGAGCCCAGTGTAATCCATCGATTGCAGCTGGTGTATGCAAAGATAATTAGCGACGGATAACGGTGTTCGTTTCACATGCCTTTGATAAAAAGTTAAACATTAATTACCTGGGCGTTACTTTGGCATGTTACTTCGCCATTATAACCCAAGCGCGGCTTGGACTAGAACAGGCAAATCCACCCACGTACCATCCGCGGTTGTCTTTTGCCGTGAACGCTAGCCTAAATAAATCGTTTGCTCTTGATGGTTAAAACTCGTATGATAAAAAATTAGATGAAAAAAATGTTGTCGCTTAAACCAAGCATTAAATGTTCTTCTCGTATGAGATCTGTGATAATTTTTAATAAGCCATTGCTTACATGAAGATAACGTGACCAATTAAATTTTCTCTATAGTATCTACTTCACCATTGCCAAGTGGACCACTCTGTCGTAATGTTTTTACATGCAGCACTTAAACCGTTAAGCATTATTCCATCGTACGGCCGCCTCGCGCCAGCACGAAACGTATTTATGTACGGATTTGAACCTGAACCGCAGGGTCGTAATCATTGGAGTTGTCCGCACTTCAATCTTGCGTTCTAAAATGCCATTCGAATTTGGTAAAGGAGAAAATTTATATATACATTTTTTATGTTATGTTCATAATAAATGGGTCGAGTACGGTGATACACTTGCAAGGCTTACCCTAATTTTAAATACGTCTTAACGATCTAGTTCTGAATTCGAGTCTGCGACGTTTTTCCATCACTTCACCGTTTTAGTGTTTGTATTCCGTCGCGATCGATAACTCCATCGGTTGGCTGCTGTACGAAACTTCGTGTGAGTGCGTCCTTTTGCTACAAAGGGAACTGTCCTATTTTTTATGAAATAATTGTATTGTGCATACCCGAGCCTTTGGGCTAATTTTCTCAAGTCGGCTTCGAAACAACATCTTATACCCAGAATTTACGATTCCAACAGGTGCACATAACTATCGCATATCTACAGTATAATGTGTATATGATGTTGGTAGAAAACTATACAGACAGGCCATTTTTGGCCTTCGTTAAAATTTCTGCATCTACAACGCCATGTCTATATAGTTGTTAATGCCGAAAATACGACCCGATACGTACGATATAATACGAAACAACTATTCTCTTAACTGCAACGGCTCACATTTGCCTTGATCAGATGCTGCAAGTTTGCACAAAGGTTTTCCTTTTACGCGCCATACTTTGATCGACATCTTCCGTGATGAAGAATCAGCGTAGATTTATGCTGCTTGGGCATTATTCACCCTCACGTCTGGTCTGATAATCCATCTGAATATTCATAGAGGTGTCACTCTATGCAGAGCAGTTGTGGCGGCAGATTCACAACTAAATGAATCGTAATTGCGACAAGATTTTCCCGCTGTTAGTGTACAAAGTGATCAAAAAATGTACAGGTATCGTAATGATAACAGGAACAATTATCAGGACCACCACACATAGCTGCATCGGTTCACCTATTCATAGGAGCCATCATCTGCTCTGCATCTATCCATGTGATTCTCTATTTTCACATGTCCAACTTCAAGCGGATTACTCTTACATCATCCGGGATGTGTATTTTATTACATGAAGTCACATTGCGGTTTCTTTACTTGAATACGCTGATGAAGCTTGCCCTAACCAAAACTGACACATTCGAACCGCTAGCAAATACACTTATGTAGTGACTAGACGATTGGTCCGTTTACGATGCGTAAGGCCTTTACGGCAAGTCTGCTGTCACTAGTAATTAGCAGTGCGAATGTCTATTGTCAAGTGTTACCTTTGGCCTACCGGCTAACCCGTCCGTAATAATCGCGCGCACACGTTCGGGCACAAGTACGCGCAATTCAGTATCAACAAACGCAGCTCGAATAGCATGGGCGAACGAAGAAGTCGAATTTCAGTAAATCAACGAAGAGACTGATTGGTCTTGAGTGATGAAAGATCAGATCGCTAAAAGAAGAGCCGATGAAATGCAACGAAACCGAGAAATGAGTCCTATTTATTGCTATAGGATTACTCTGCTAATAGTTATCAAGTGTCCAAGGTAAGTTTTTGCTCGAGATGATAAATGTATCATTAGACAACGATAAAATGTTGTTATTTGCTGAACTAGGCCCATAAACCTGAGCGCTGCATCAGAAAACGAGCTTACCATACGGGCAACAGTTAGCTGGATATTTATTGTTATTGGTCACCTTTACGGCACGATCTGCCGTGGTCTTGGTTAAACTAGAACATTATTGTAATAATAATAATCTAAATTAGAAAATTCAAACGATAATTCGCTCTTCTTCTCTGCAGTTTCCGTTCCGTAAACGCTCTTCAGGATTTCGTCCAAACGATGTCCAAAATTTCGCGAGAGGCAGTTTTGCCTCTCTTGGAAGTTCTAGGACGAAGAGACTGCAAAGGCAAATTAAAGTTACCTAAACACTTTACGGCCTCATTTTGTTATTCCTATACTTAGCTTCTTTTTTTTTTGTTTTTTTCTTAATATAATAGTCTACTGACGCCTGTCATTTTTGGCTTTTGTGGCGAACTAATAGAATTTTTACACTCATTATCCCAAAGCTAACACAAATTGAGTAACAAGAATCAGTTGGATACTTTCGATTTTACATTATATAGCCAGCAAGATATGACGACGAATGTCATAGTAGTTGTTCCTTGACAAAAAGTTTTCTTTTTTAATTACTAGGCTTTCTTAAAGCTAGGAAAGCTTGGGCTGGGTTTAGAGTCTTGGACCACCCGTTCATCCCGCGATAGCCTAGCGGATAACATATCTACCTGCTAATCATTGGGGCACCTCGTAGTCTAGGTGCGAACCCGAGCATAGTTTCGCGTTGGGAGCCAGTCGTCTAATGGGTAGCCTAAAGGCCATGCTGGATGTAAAACACAGAAACACCAGACATTGAATGTGACAGCGTTTGTTTATGTAGGGTATCATAATCAGTAACGTCTCGCAGGTAGCTGGGCAACTAGTTTTTCTTTATTTGTGTAGAACCGATACTAGTTAGAGCACATGCATGGCGGATAAGGTTTAATTTCTAAAGAGAAGCTTTCTTTGGTGGACGAAGCAACATGTCCACACTCCGTATGTGTGAAAGACTCTTCTACTAATTTGGTGCTATTTGCTATCAAAAATTCTGTTTATGTTCAGTGTCTTCCAGTTATTCGAATCTTCTTGGACACATACAAATCGATGCGGGCTTGTATTTGCTAATTTTAAATTAAAAAATAAATTATTATTACATTGTTATTAGTCAGCCCAAAGAAAATCGGGATGAATATCTTGGCCACATTATGTCATTAGATATAATTCCTATTCAGCTCACCTATGAGGGAACGACCTACATAATACATTTCATGCTTGTGATGAGTAACGAGTCCTATTAACGGCTGGGTCTTTCACTCTCATATCATGTTGCTTATGTGCTTTCCGAACAAAATACGTTTAAGTTATTTATTATAAGTAAGGCCTTGCTTATCTGTTATGAGACGGCACTCTACCTTTATAATAATTATCGTACGCATCTATCTCACATAGGCGAACACTTGTTGTTTGGAAAACAATACAATGATGTTATGATTGTCTTTGACATTACTCTACCAGCTGAGCTTACCGAGTACTTCCTTGATCGTTTTCTCTACCAGAAAGCATGAGTCAACAAACAAAAACTACCGAAAGCTGAGCGCCTGTACTTAGGTATATAGTAATGCCAGCGACGGTGTACGCGGATCTTCAACCAGTATTCGATATTTCACAAAAAGATACTCTCAGATAAAACCGAAACAAACCCGTTTTAACTTGACCTTTTTTTCACTCGAATACGGCCTATTAATACAGTACAGATGTCGCGATTTCGAATGGCCCGCTGTAAGCAAACTTCGAAGGATGATAGAGTATTCATAGGCGCATCAATCGATAAGAGATTGCGACAAGCAAGCGTTGTTGGTTGACAGCGGCCACCAAAATCAATGACGTTTCGGTAGTGGACGTAACCCGTATACCTCGTTTGCTATCTATGCGTACATTGTATCGGTTAGCAATTTTATTATGCTATGAGCGAAATTCCTTAAACGGACGCGTGGACATACGTACGTACAGAATATGCGAACGTCTGATGATATAAGGAACTGAAGAAAAACGTCATCGGAACTTCGTGAAGAACTCAGCACACTCGCAGCGCGCGTAAACCTCTAACTAGTATGGATGACGGAACAAAAAGCGTTTGTCATTCTTTGCATCTACCATATACGTATTGCCAGCATTGCCATTAATCACTGTCAACAGTGCTAAACAAACTAAGTTGTCGAAGTTACCGTTTGGGTGATCAGGGCGGTAAATTGTCATGACATACATTGAAGGTACCGACTTCCATTTCAAGGGAATGACTTCAAAGTTGTTTTGTAATTATGACTATTACTATTCGCAACTTGCTGTTAGATGAGTTTCCGTATAAATAGGAACAATACCGCTCAAAATTGATTTATTAAGCTTATTATTATTACACATACTCGAATAAAAATGTTAAACTGCCTGGTTTTGGAATTATTATTATTATTTGATTAAAGCTCACATTTATCTCGTTTCAGTACGGACAGTGGCATAGATAACCCGTTCCGTCCCGAAGGAGAACTTTCCTTGGAGGCCGATGAGATCGTAAAGGTAAAACCCGATTCCCGTCCTTGCTCTAATTATTAAGGCCAAATATTTGCTATTTATCAAGACTTACTTTAAATTCTGTTTAACTTTCATGAGCTCGATCATGTTGAAACTAATGCAACTGGCACACTTGAACTATCAAACAACTAGTAATACGGACTGCATTGATTTGTCGGCGGTGGGTATAAAAGAAACCAGACGAGATTTCCCGCAGTTGGACGTATGTGAATAGTACCTCACCTTCGACCACAGATACTTTCACTTGGATCATGGATAGAAGAGAACGTGCCCAGCTAGCTGATTGCGATGCTCGAAACTTCACAGATTGTTTGCGGCTAGTGTACTTTATAAATATCACATAAGCCACTGTTAATGACAGTTGATTGAGCATACTGAAGCATAGAAACCCACTGAATAACGAAACAGGGCCGCTATCGTCATAATAATAAGCTGACAATTGTCGAATTTTTTCTCAGTCACCTACCACCATCTTCAGCATCGCTTTCCCTTAGCCAACTGGAACATTTACTACGTTGGTGTCAGCTCAATAAACACGGCAAACGCCCTAAGTTGTACCGCCGGAATGATAAAGCGTGTAGAAGCACTGAACTTCACAGCAACCCCCGTTATAGACATTCGCTACGAAAAGATTCGTCTATTTTGGTTGGTTTGGTGCATTATGGATGGACCTACGTCATGGGATGTTGGCTTATTTTGTTCTAGTTGTATATAATGTCGATATTTATTTATTTGTTTACCGTGTTAACGCTGAGATTCGCATGGACAACAAGTATATTCCTGAGTTCTGCGACAAGTGATAGAAATAACTAGAATAGAAAGCCTCCTTGCGATCCTCTGTACTGACGTTACATTGACAAAAATTATATGCTTTTCTCTATGGCAACCTAATTATACTTTGACAGGCGATCAAAGAAGGCCGACCGATTGATTCGATCGATTCCGGGAGAATCTCGCGGCAAGAGCTCGGTACGACCACATTGTCGATCAACACATCAGCAGTTCCTGAAAACAAATCGCCCACAAACGTCAAAAATGGCGCCGCTAAAAACGGTTCCGCCAAGGGTCCTTCAAACAAAAAGGTATCATCATTACACCTTTATGACACTCCTAAGCCGGCAACCCACTTGCCACACACGTCAGTGGGTTAGGTTGTCTTATTATCAAGCTTGAAGCAGGAGATAAAAGTGCTATTGTCCTGCGTGTCAAGCTTTCTGTCTATAGAAGTTTTGGTTATTTTGGTCCATATCTTTGCGTGTCTGTGTCTTAGATTAATTCGTTCTTCCTCTTCAAGCCAAGCTTATCATATCGTTGGAGATTTAAATAATTTCATTTTTCCTCAATATACGTATGTGTATTCGTTTTCCACAACAGCTGTCATGATTCGCTGCAGGGCTTCAACCAGATTTCTGATATCAAAGCCATCTTCTTCTGCTACATAGTAATTGCATGTGATTCGTAGTAGTAATAGTTATGTCCCTTGTTTAGATACATTTTCTCTCATAGACTTTAACATCTCTCCTTTAATACGATCATATTGTGTATGATGCGGGGACACATCCAGTAAAAGGTGTCAGCCGGAAAGAGGCTTCGATATGGACTTTTAGGTATAATATTATCACTAACTTGTCTCCGTCAGCGCTGATATGAGCGATATTCTTATTACTTACTATACGAGTCATGGGTTCGCTCTAAGGTTTTTGTTTCGGAAGTTGTCGCATTTCTACGATCATATTTATAATTTGATTGATAAAATCCCTTATGCAAAAGAGAACAGTGCGGCGTTTGTTGCTAAACCTATCACGCCTCTCCGGGTATATGGGCGTAATAAATCTATCGTTTTTATAAATGTCTTAACGCCAATACAGTATGTATACGCAGTGTACTTATGGCACAAGTTATTAATTAGCTATTGATTTTCTTGAGGATGTGATGAGTCAACACGATATTTTCCTCTACTGATAAAGGCCTTAAAAATAGTTATCTACGAGCACTACCGAGCGGACCCACTACTAGCAGTTACCAGGAAGGTTATTATTAAGTACATACGAAAAATTACCGATTTTACTTTTGCTCTGTGTCAGTGAATCTGCTTATGACATCGTAAAAAATGTCATCAATTAATTTTTTTGGGCGTTCAAGGACTTGGCCTTGTTTATCAACACATCGCTGGGGAGTTTTCTATGGTTTATTCAATTTTGCATGAAATCCAATCAGCAAAAGGTACTGTTCCACTTGTGATTCTATTTATTACATTCGACAATTTTATAATTGGAGTTAATTGGCAAAGAGAAGAAGTTTTTCTTTGTAGACTGCATCCGGTAAAAGATGTGCTGTCGTGAAACTGATAGTCTCTTTGCTTCTCGTACATCATAATAACTAAAGTACGTGTTGGAAGTGTCTTCAACATAATCTAGATAGACCAGCCTGACTCGAAACAGCCAAAAGAACCATCATCAGTTACTATGCTAACGGTAACCGATGACCTTTAGTATGATCTATTAGAATATTCCTATGAATGTGAGCTTGCGTCGCATCCATGGAAGTTATTAATTGTAATGAATTAGTAATTAAATAATGACTGATGAAATAACTTCCATTTACTGCTGCATGTAACCAATTAACGCATGCCTACATCATAATCACTAGAAAGCCTCTTTTTTTTATCTCGCTTGAGTGTCATCTGTTTCAATCACCTGACCTTTAGGCATTAAACTTAATAAGTTACTAGAAACTAAACTGACTAAACACTCAGCAACAAAAACCGCAATAACCACATGTTATATACTATAAAAAAAAAAAAAAAACAACAATGAGCGAGATGTGTAACGAAGAATGTTATCTTCCGTGTGGTGTCGTTTGCGTCATCTGACTGACCTACGTAACACTCACCCATCACCCATTCATCCTGCTGATGACTGACTGATGACTTTGATGTGTTTCCTGAATTTTGTCTGCTTCTGCTTCTCCATCTCCACTGTCCTTCTCCTACTGACCTCGCGCTGCGCAGCTCTGAGGAGGCTGACACCCTCCTCTGTCTGCTGAGCCGGTTAGTAGTTGCTAGTCGAGATAAAGTTAGGAAAAAACAAAACAGACGAATTAGGTCACGTAACGGAAAACAGCATCTGCCTATTTAACAAGTTTGATCTATGCATAGGAGAAGTGGGTTAACGAATTTGCAACCAGGTGCATAACACAATAGCCAAAGGTATATGTTAGACCTAAATCCGGAACAGCACAGACGCGTGAGCTCAAAGCCAGCGATTATTTGATGCAGTAAGGATAAAAGTTGATTAAAAATAAATAAAGTGGCCTATATAGAGTTAGCTATCAGATGTGAGGCGCTGAATCCGTGAATTTGAGAGAAAAATAATGTTCGCTTGGCCGAACGAGACTGGACAATTCCTTTAAAAAGACCACAACTTTCAGACGCAAATACACCTTTTAAAGGCCTCTTACCCGGTGGCTGGGCAAAAGGCCACAGCAGCTTCCATACAAAACCGTAAAAGCCATCAATAGTTAAAATCAGCCATTTGAGGAGTGGTTTAGTGTAAGGAATCGGAAGATTCTTTTCAAAGAACGCTATTAGGCCACATTAATATAATGTTTCCTGTATTTTTCTTCGACGGTTATGTTTAGGTAATAGTATGTGATTGTCATGGAGTAAGCTTGCAGTATTTATAACTAGAACAGATTTTTTTTAGTATTAGAAAAAAGCAGTGAAAGTGAGCCTTAACTTAAAGGAACATCATTAGATCTAGACCAACGTTTTGTAGATAGTTCCGAAGCTGAGATCCGAGGCAACGAAACTTTTCAGCTTGAAAATTAAATTACATTAAAAAATTCCCAACCTGCTCATAGCTCCATAAGTCTAAGATTTGTTTGAAACAAAATTCGTTTGAGGTAGGTAAGAAACTTTAGCCATGGAGGGTAATAATGGAACATATGTTCAAGGCACTTAAGTACCCTGACAGAATTTAAAAAGTAACCTATATTTTTTTAGATAGGTTATCTGCTGATATCAGAAAAAAGTTCTCGGAATAGATGTCAACCATTTCCAAGAATAGACTAGCAATTGAATCTATCGCATAAGATCCAATCTACAAGACGAGTTAATTCATCGTACTTCGATGTAGTTGTTGGTGCTCCAGTTTGAACGCGAGCGTTCGTTCGATGAACTTTACGAAGGCCCGTTGTTGAATTGCTCAACCCGGCATATTTGTTCATTCCTCATAAGGACAAATCAAGAGTTTTATCTAGAAAACTCCTTGAAACTTTTCATTAATGAGAATCCCTTCCAGGGCTGAAAATACTTAATATCTTAAAACAAGTGTTACTCTGTTTTTGTCATTATTAAGCGTATGTTGTTGTTTACAGTCGCTATTTCGGGTATCTATTGTGGTATCGCCAGTTAGCCTTAAAAATTTTACTATTCCTAGAATTTTTCCAAGACACTCAATAAGGTTCAGATATGCTTTGCGGTACCCCTACATAACTGAAGTTTGTCTCTTTTATTAGCTAACTTTGAGTGGTGCCAGCCCAAGTACTCCTAGGCCTCCGTCCGCAATTAAAACTTTTTTTTAATAATTTCGTTTCAAGGCTAAAAAAAATCGATTGTGTTAAATTGAAATTAGTCCGAATGTGACTTAATACTACCAGTAGTTTTAATTCATAAACTCTCCTCTGTCAAACTTCCTCAACCTGGACAGAACTTCTCACGCAATCACGTATTCAATAAATCATTTTTAAACTAATTCTTAACTTTAAACCGACAAACCTTATACACTTTATTTTAACTCAGTTAGCTCTACTTATAGAATAAATTATCTAAACGTTTGTATTCGAACTAAGGCTGAATATGGTGTCCACGCTAGATGGAATAGTGATCTGACAAGTGCTTTCAGTCAAAACGTCACGTGTGACCTTTTCTATTTGCTTCCATGCAAATAACAGTGAATTCTTAGAATTTACTTGGAAGCTTCTATTATTATTATTATTAGTTATTTGCTCATTTCGAGGAAGAAAGTTTTAAACACATGGGAGAACCTGACGTATAGATACTTAAGGATGTTGACACAGCAATGGCGTATGTCGTAGGTCGTTTGCCTGCAGTGTTGGTTTTATTACTATAAGTATTATTATATTATTTTCAATATATATATATAAATATATATATCCTCCAGTCGTAGATAAGTGTGAAAAACAATAGCTAATATATTTCCTGTCAATTTTTCCTTTCTTTTGCCCTTTCCCTAAACTTGCTATATTTAACGGACGGGACGGAATGGGTTGGTAATATCACAGGACGCGAAACCGGGCGTGGTAGACGTACAGCGGGGAGTCGTGGTGCCACCGTCCGAGGCTCAGCAGGCTGAGCAGGTTGTTATCAAGAAGAAGCCCAGGTGCAAATGCTGTGTCATCCAGTAGTAGACTCGTTAGCTGTGAAAAATCAACCCAACGACCAAGAAAAAATAAGTAGACCTTTTCAAATATAAAAACCCACAAACAGACAGATATACAGACAGAGTAAAGTAAGACAACACTGAGCAATACATACAACCAAGATGACAGTAAATGGCTACCGGCCGTTTAAATTCTCTCCCATCTTTGCATTCGAGTGGGGTTCGAGTGGTTAGACGTAAATGGAATAGTTGCAGACTATAACGTTCATCTCACGACTGGTCAGCAGCGCGCGTTTTTGACACGTCTATTGGCAGTTTTCATCATGCGGCATTGCAGCGTGATGATCATTTGGCCGCGTCATCAAAGGGAAACGAAATTGTTGTCGTCGTGATCAACTTTCGTCATAAAATTACGCGACCAATATTAGATAGAACGCAACAATGTCTGCTTAAACGTGATGACGGTTCGGACGACAGTGAGTGACCCTTCGACGCGTGGCCATTCAAGAAAGACAAGGTCACGTTACTTCATATGGCAGGAAACATAAAGACAGAATGAAGCAGCCTTAACGAAAAGAAAAAGCTACTTATCACGATCATCTTTCTAGATGAACCGCTAGCTTGTACCTTTCATGAATGTTACCATCGAGGATAACAAAACCCTTCAGGAAAGAAGTTTCCTTTCAGAACGGACATTGACGCACTTAGGTACAGCCATTTGCCTAGAAGCTTTGTGTGAGCTCATGCCTGTTTTGCGCGCGTCAACAGCAGATCTGGTTCGCATCTCATTGCGGAAGCTGAGAACTACAATTACAATGCGTGCGCATAAGTTGTACGTCCGACGGGGAATGAGGTGCATGGTACTCGGCAGACAGGTGGTCTATAATCGAGACAAATCATTTGAAGCAGAAGATAAGACAACGGTCTATTTATTTTCCGACGACAGATGACGCAATGGCGAAAACAACCGTTTGTTTGTACATAAAAAAGTGTAAGCACCAGGTGAAGCTAATGGTTTGGATACCGCAAAACGCATACGGCGCTATATCCTGCGTCTAGCATGAGCAAGATTGTTGCACGAGACCGGAGCGTCTGTCAGCCACTGTTCCACAGAGATGTCACCACCTGGTGGATGGTGGTGATAAATTTTTTTCTTCGACCATTCTATTCAGCGGTGCGTAAAAACATTAATTTACATTAAGATGCACGTTCCTGTGCCTGCCCCTGTCTACATCTTTCCCCGCCGAAAAAAAAACGAGAAATCTTGGTACGATGCCGAATAAATACAAAAGTTCATTTCGTAACTTTCGCATAGGTAGGTAGGTGATGATGAGCAAAATGTCTGTTCGAAACAGAACCGAAAGGGATAAACCATATACAACATGTAGAAAAAAAAACAAGCAAGTAGTTGATTTAGCTCTATCGTGTCTGTCAGAAGTTGCTAATGACAATAGCTCCTTTTGACTTGTCGTTCTTTTACTTTATATATATATATATATATATATATATATATAAAGCAAGGGGGAGGAAGAGAGAGGGCTAGCGATATGTGGAAGTTGCAGTAAAAAAACAGGAAAAAGAAAAACAGAAATTTTCTGAAGCGGATGGCGAAGGGGTAGGAGCAGACGAATAGAACGGGGCGAGCTTCGTCTAGAAACAGACAAACAGGAAAGAGAGCGATACAAAGCGAGTAAAGTTAGAACAGGGCCAATAGCTTGGAAAGTATGTATAAAAGGGGACGATTGAAGACCGAGGTAAGTAGTATAAGACAATTTGCATGATGGTGTAGAAAGAACTCGTATGGCATAGTGGGGATAATGGGGTCGGTGATTACCTTTTGATACAGTGTGGTAACTACAAATGATTCCCTGTTGCGATGGCAGCATAGCAACCCCCGGGAGTACAGTAGCTTTAACAAACGACGAAAAACACAACAGAGCCATATTAATATATTATTATATACATTGATAATAGACAAAACATAAATGTAATGTCTTTACAAATTGAATGAAAAGAGCATTTTAGTGGACAAGAATAGGAACTCTATAAGTAACAAGCCAAACAAAGAATTGCGCAGGACGTTTAACACAGTCTGTTCCTGTGCGATTCCTGTCAGGCCCTTTGAAACTGCTAACAACACTTCGTTGTGAAAAATCACAGATCATCCTTAAGGGGTTCGCACGTTTTGTGCTACATAATAACCCAATACTTACGAACGAGTGAAATGAAATGTCCTTTCAGGTGTACCTATCATCTGTAGTATGTCTCCTTTTCGTGCTAGGTAAACCACATGTCCTTTGGGTTTATCGTACTCCTGGGTTGCTAGGAGAATGTTCTGTTGAGAAAGACAAAGACTATGAAAATAATATATAATCCTTCTTCACAAAGAAAGAACAAGCGATTCCCTACAATGCCGTAGTTAAATCCTTTCAGAAGTGAAAATGCTACAAATAATCAATTTTCGAAAAATGAAACATAGAATACAAATAACATGGCACAGAAGTAAATCTTCTTCGTTTCGTTGTTGTTGATACGATCTTACTACGCAAACGAGGTAGGATAAAACAGCTAAAAACATCCTATACATGCTGCCTATACATATTATCAATTGGCTAATATATATATATATATATAATGATTATCTACATAACATGTATGTTACAGATAACGTAATTAATTGGCTGGGCTACGATGTTTAGAAATGACTGATAATGTAATAGTCCTTTCCACAGTGGTTCAGTGTCTGGCAATTTTTGGCAGCTTCTAAAGGCTCCTGTCTTCTTTTCGCCTTATTGCATAGTCACACGTACACATTTATCAATAATACAACACAAGAGTCTCATACATTGTAACCCAACGACGACACCAACTTGAAATGCGTGCAAGTAGATACAGACCGAAGACGCGACAGATTCGCTCGACGAGAGATCTTCCTTGCGGGTATAACGACGGTGTAGGGAGGCATCTGTATTGTGAATACCAAACAGTTGTGGACCAGCTATACGTTTCACTATATATATATATAATATAATCCGCCACGTGCATATTTTTTTGCAAAGTTTCAGTTGCAGATGGCACAAGAACGAAGCCAGGTCTCGAGGAGCTTCAAAATTTGGGGGACTGCACTTTACAGCCGTGTTTTGTTACGTTGAATAAGAAACCTGTTTAGTCTTCATTTTGCTTTGCATGCTAAGCCTATTCGCGCTTAGCGTTTGCGAACCAGAGACACACATCAACAGAATCAACGGATACACGCCGTTATAGTAGCCGTTCATTCTAGACGTCCAATACACTTCTATACGTCACAGAACACATTCAGAAGCTTAGATAAGGCGGAAAACGCGTTGTTTCTATCATGGATAGAAGAAGCTCATTGTTCTGGCGCATCGAATAGTGCACTGGTCTTTTACCACTTTCCGGTTGGGGGTGAAAGGTTGTGAGGTACCTCCCTCGCCTAGAGGGCGGAACATCACCAGCCCGACCCGTACGTCAAGGCAATCCCCTCTTTTTAAGAAGCACCTCATTTGTTCATCCATGATAAATTGACACCAGAAAATCGATTCGTTTTCTACATCGTTGTAGTTCTTCATGAGAATGGCTATATGGGCCAGTAATACACAGACAGTGTAATATAGTCTACTATATTTCAATTATATATGCAGACATGAGACAGACAAGCAATTACACAAATGAATCGTGACGGTCCAATTGATACATGACGCAATTGTTGCCATCGGCAACTCAAATACTATCTACCAAAGCTGAAAGGCACACGGTGATACGGTAATCCGGAGTCGTTTCGTTACTAGAATAGCTGGATCGTTTTATCTGTCGCTTTGTTTTAACTGTCGCTTATAGACGTCGATCCTTCGTCGAAAACTGCCCGCGAACCTTGTGTCTGTATCTTTTCACCGCGTAGCGATTCGGTGTTGAGAACTCTTGGCCCAGTCAGTCGTCACTAAATCGAGAACGCTCTAAAATGGGTTTCTGTGAATTCGATTGGATCGAGGTGGACAAGATTGAAATGACTGATTCGTAAAATGCAGACAACGAACAACAGGCGAGCTGTTATGGCAAAATACAGCAGACAGTCGTCACTGTGACAAGTTGACGGAGAACGACTACAACAAATCAGAACGGAAAGATACAGGCAACTTTAAAAGAAGACCGATAAAGGCCCTTCGAACTATTAGACAAGCAGCGTGACAATAGCATCCGTCTAATTAGACAATAGCATTCAACGAAACGATAGATACAACAACACACAGGCGACAACACCTCTAATTGCTGGTATATAATTATAATAATTATTATTTAGTGCAATAAATATATTGCCAAAAACCAAACTGTGTGTTCTTCTTTGTACTAGGTGTAATATACGAGTAAATTAGCTTTTTGCATTACGCGCTATTAGGAGACGAAATCAGGTAAGTGATGATCTTTGGCTGAAAGTGTCAATATATGTAGATCGGATACCTGTCCGCTTTATGCATAACTAGCTATAATTCTCAAAAAAATTCAAAGAAAAAAAAAGCTTCAATTTTCACTGCGTCCTTTCAACTCGCTCACAGCTCCGGGTTATTTGATACATCAACAAAGTACAGAATGAACAATGGACATTCAAAATACTGACCTCACAGGCTGAATTAGTTATAATTTAACTAGTTTAACTTAGACACTTCTTTTGGTTAGCTGACTTTTTAGGTAGTGCTATAGTTTCGAAACGATACATCTAAGGTAATACCTCCAAATCACCTTACAATAACTATCAATTGGTGGCAAAATCATAGAAGTTTTGGATTGAAGAACCGGCACGCATCAGACATCATATATATTTATATAGATATTTACGGCGGTGAAAAAATAATCATTATTTAGCTAGTTATATCGGCTGCACATGGCCAGTTCACTTACGCCAAACTAGATATAAAACTGTCACCGAAAGGATTTTGCTTAATATAATAATATTTCATTCATTATTTACTCTAATCTATACTCTATTTACTGTACTTATTATACACCAAAAGTAAGTTTTTTTGGCTAAATTCTTAAAATTATTATACCTAGAACTGATCATTTTTTCTACTGACTTTTTTCTACTATTATTGAAAAATCAATTACTTTAAAATTGACTATATGAATTGGCGAATTTTTGCAACTCATTCGATTTTCATTAAGATCAATTATCTATTAATTAAATATCAGACTCTGAACGCGCCTTCGTGTAAGGAAGGATGGGGTTAGATGGTTTGCTTAATGCCATTGTTTCCAATGAGAAAAATAATCCTGGAAGATTCGTCAAAGACTCTCCTGGTCTGCGGCTTGGCTATCATGAGCTTATTATAATTAGTTTTCGAAAAAAAAAAAAAAAAAAAAGAGGTAGAGGCGCTTGGATCGTCGAGTCCACAAAATACGATCAAAAGTGATGATTTCGCGCGAACCAGTTGGTCATTTAACAAGGCTAATCGGAAAATGCTTTTTGCAGAAAAGGCCTGTTGTTACATTTAGGAAAGATGGTGCCTAGTAAAAAGTTGCGACTGATTTAGCATTATGATTCGTTTATCTATCTTATGTTTAGATAAAATTGTACCGGTAACGGTATGTGTACTGTTCTAAAGCCAGCTAAACTCCACAGAAGCCTGTAGAACTATTGTGCTTATAGATGATTCTCGTATAATCAATAATGTAAGGTAAGCTCTGACCTATGATGCTGATGGTCGCCGCATACCCGCTGAAATGTAGTGCATAAATCGCTTTGGTATATAAACGTAGCAATGGACTAATAATATAACTAAGAGATACGCGTCTATAGGTCCATAAGACGCTCATTGCCATCTGCCGACAAGAAAGCTACGCCAGTTAACTTCGTCCTGGTAGCAGCGGTAAAATGGTTGACAATATGGTACGAACGAAGATACTGAGATCGCTCCCAGTGGAGTTCCGCTAGAGAAAGCCGAACCGATAGCAGAGGAGGACGGGTGCTTCGCGAAGGAGCGGAAATGGTTGCCGGAACAAAACATTAGATAGGCATCTAGACATTTCTACTATGGAGTGGGCCACGCATCGTTCGATTTTAAAATCAGTACAGAAGGACGTGGGAAAACACGAGCGTTTTTCACCCGGAAGGGGTTGGCTCGTCGGGCGCTGCCACAACGAGGTTCTTGAAACGGTCGTGAGTGCGAAGCGCTATCACCAAAAAAATTAGGTGTTCCCAATTCCGAACGTTGAAGGGTCGCATTCGAAAAACGAGATCGGCACCATTCCTTCTCACCGCAAAGGACATAACCTTTCACATAGTATGTTTCGGGTGATGCAAAACAATATATACGGGGAGAGTTTAGCATCTGCTGTTGGAGTCGCTGGAGTTCTTTCATTCGTGATGTATGTCGTGCTTTCCGCAGTAAACGGCGTGTTTGGAAAATAGAAACGTACTAGAACATATTGAGCATGTTTAAAGGACGGAATGTGGCATACTTGAAGGGCATGCTTTGATTCTGTTCGGAGGCGTTCAGCAAAGACTTACCTTTGGCCCCTACTTATGCTGGAGTCCTGCGAAAAGCATACTGTTTGAGCTTAACAAATGCCCTTACAATCATGCCAGTCCGTGAGCTCCACATCTAATCGTGCCAAGCGACTGTTAAAATCGCGGCCTAGATAAACGACAACAGTCTAAAATTAGCTTTGAGTTAATCGGAAGCAATTCTTTTGATCCATAGGAACGCGTGTCCGGATCTTTCAGTCATATTTTTAGATAAAAATGGATGCAACTTATAAATACTAATAATTGAATTAGATCGCGCCGTGTACAGCATACAGGACAGCCAAAAAGGCCACAACTGCAAACAAAGCCGAACTATATAGGCATAAGCCACGCGCTAAGAATGCGTAAATATTAATAGGAGGTGACTTGGGATTATTGCTGGTTGTGTAGACGATGCTAGGTGCGGCAATCTCAATAACAAAAAGAGTGCTCAGCTAGTTTTGGGTCTCAGGGCACCAACCAAAGGGGATGTGAGAGGCGAATTATCTAGAGCTGATGGAAGGTGTCAGAGCGTCCATTATGCTTGTTGGCCAAAGGAAGGGGACTCCACTTGCACAAAACCTTTAGGTGCTACCTTCAGAACCAAAGCAACGTCAAGTTCCTAGAGATCCCAAATCCGTATAGCATAGCGTTGACTTGTAGACCCATATTGTTGCTAAAGTAACGTCCACTTGTAAAATGTATGGGTAAAATTGTAGCATCGGACAAAATTAACTATAGATATCGTTGTTTCCACTAACTTCAATATAGACACTGTGTATTTATCTAGAATAAAATTGAGAATATAAAAAAATATATCTAAAGGGAAGTAACAAGAAGCCTCCATTAAACCATGAAGTTATATATTGCGTCATAAGCATCATGTAAACCCTAGGGCTTTTCCCCAGAGCAGAACTCATTTATATGATGGATGGAGTTAAGTAATAGTTGCAACCCATTGTCTTTTTTAAATCGAAAAAAAGGTCCCAAAACAGTCGGATATTCGCCGCATCTGGAGTTATATTGTACGACGCAAATTGCAAATAGCTGAGAAACCCTTAACGACCGTATGGAACGAAAACTCACCAGCTCTGAACTAAATATCTACGACAAACGAAATATGCCTGACCCACAGAAGTTACGGACAGCAATCATGATTTTTTCAACGTAAAAGCCCTGAATGCGTGAAGGTGAGACGTAAGGTTTCCAAGTCGTTACGAATAATCATTGCGGTTACATAGAAAAATTTTACAGAGGAACAGTGAATGGTGTCGCGATCAGCCTTGTACAGGATCTACCAGTGATTTGTGTCCATAGTGACCTGGCGGCGGGTGACCCATATTCTACTGCGTAACCGGCGGTTCAAGAAGCCCGAAACTCAAGAGTTAGGAGTAAAAAAGCTAGAAGGAATCCCAACAGTCGACGGTCTCGAGATGAAGCATTTGTGAACTTAATACGCAGCACCGCAGGTGACTCAAATTGGATCAGCAACCATAGTGACAATATTAAAAGAAAAACGTTTTGAATAGATAGAGAGGTCCAGATTTGGCGCAGCCGGTATAGTTACAAATGGGACACAAAGCGTCAGAACAAGAACCTGAAGAGTGATCTTGAATTGATTGAACCGACTGATCCTTTTTTACCGGCCTATAGTGCTGCTCACTAGAATCCTAGCTTAGAGGTTCTAAATTAAAAAAAAAGTCAGCATTGCTTATGCTGTTCGGGGCGAAGGTTATATTTTTCTACGAAAGGATCGGATTGGAAGGCTTCGACGAGATTCCTCCGGACTCCTTGTTATTTTATCATGTACATACGGCCTATAATATCCTAAAATTAACTGAATTCGAATATTTAAAGTAATGCTTGACCTCTGAAAAGTAGTCCTTTGACATCATCATTACATTAAAAGGCAATTTGCTTGAGGTTTGCCTGCAATACAAGAACGTCCTAATGAGCATCCTCTGTTAGACTCGTATTCCTAATTGGGTGGGATTTTATCAAGACAATATCCTAATCATGAGCCAAAAACAAAAAAAGTAGACACCAACTTGTCAAGTTTACGAACAGTTTATTAACTTAATATGGCAATTGTAATAATGATGGTACAATAATACTTTCTTTTTACCATAGCAATAGTAATCCATGTCATGCAGATTTTTTTAGCATTATCGTCATGTTTAGCAATAATCTCGTCAGAGCTACTATTAGTCATGGTTCGAGAGTGATAATTCGTAGACTAAGACAAAACAAAGTTGCTGTTAGGTGGTTACTAGAAGGTATTTGTATTGAAATGCTTACGAGAGGTCGGCAGTCGAATATAAAACATGTTTTTTTCACCTCGGTACGCTTCTACCGAATGGAACTTTCACAAAATTTCAGTTTTCGAACGACGTGATCAGATCTGGTAAGTGTTGTAGCTGTTGCTATTTGCTTTTGTATTCTTTGTTACTGCTTATTACACACAGGTCTACCATTCCCCTGTCAATAAGGATACTTGTTAATTTTTTTACTTTCGATCTATTCGTCCAGCACCTCCGCTTCCTTTCGGCCCAAGAAAAAGCTGCGTGTACATATATATATATATATATATATATATATATATATATAGCATTGAGTGTGCTTGTACGACGTGTTATCATCGTTATTCTTTGATACATTGTGGCAATTTCGTTCGAGTATAATAGTAAGTTTTCTTTTTTATATATACTACTTGTTGTATATTGTAATTATTTAGTTTCTTAATAAGGTTAACTATTGTCATATTTTCACTTGTATGCTCGTTTGTCATGTGCTGTACGTCTGTGCTTAGGGTGTGTCATTCTATATGTTATTTTAGTTATCTGTTGCTTTGTGACCGTACAAATGTCTCTGATACACTCACTCGTCACTAACATCAGCTAGATATTTTTTTTATTATCAATACTAGCTATTCTCCTACCAATCAATACGCTATATATATATATATATTTAATTGTTCATCGGATAGCGTTGTCTCACTGCAATAATAATAATAATAATAGAAACGGTAACTCAAGCTACTACCAGGTGACGCCGATCGCGTAATCGCATTTTGGGCCTGTATAAAGATCTGGTAGTCATCTGCAAGTGAAGCTACTGGAGTTCTGGTTAGAATTGTGACAACTTGAGCACCATTTCAGCTGCACAGCCAGCCTACAATCGGCAGGCACACCTCACGCTACTTTCGTTAGGGGACCAATCGCGAATAATAGCAAACATTCCCGTCTCCCAGCAGCTGTTCATTGTAGTTACTGGTCTGTTTAGAGTAGCGCCGAAAATAACAAACAAAAAAAAAGCAACATCCAGAAAATAGCGGATCAGCGAATCAAGATTCAGCCAGTTTGCTAGTAGTCGTAGTGAAGGTGGTTGAAGCACAAGTATTGCAGTAGTAGTATACGATAATGTACCCTGCTTTGAACGATGCCTGTTCAAACTTGGGCGGATATGTAACTGTTTCTTAATCATGATTTAATGGCCTTCACATTTATTTTCGTCGTATTGTCATTTCTAACTAATTGCATATACCGCTTCTTATTCACCAAGACTTGTTGTCCACAAACGATGAAGAGGTTAGTTATAGGTAGATAGAATTCAACGAACTTCTCGAACGAAAGCCAAAATCTTTAAATACATTATCCTAATGCACCTCAACCCAAACGGCTTTAGGCTTCTCTGAGCCAGGCTCCACAGCCAGACGTTATGAAGCACTAGAGCTGAGGGCCGGCCAAAAAGAACGCTTAATTACTTCCTGCCGACGTCGCACCTCAAGAGATAAAATTAAGCGAAGTAACCTGACGAGCGTATGACAAATGATGGATGAGCATCATCTTAAGGGCGTTCATCATCTTTGTTGTTGTCATAGCTGTCGGCCGACTGTGTGGCAAACTACGTTGTACTTATTTATGGCGACCGGTTCTGTCGTTTGTCCTGAGCAGATCTCGTCTAGGAAAACCTTGTCCTGGCTTACTTTCGATCACACGTTACGGATAGGTCTGTTAAATTAATCTCGCCGACACGAGGTCGGCTAGACATGCCATAGCCCACACAATCGTGGGACTTAAAACTATCGAGTAATATTGATAATTTGTGTCATTATCATATACCTTACTCTGTGCTGTGAGTGCAGCTTGTATTTCGAGTTTTTGCCGGTGCTGGATGGGATGATGTGGAGTTATTTAGTTCATCTGTGTATTAATTAATGAATGACTTCATTCTGCGAAGAGCCCTCGGATCGGCGCCTCGGAAAGGAACATTCAATCTGTATTTAAAGGTTCGGCCAATTTATATGAAGTACAATGCTCAATATCGTCAAACCTACCGTATTCACAAATATCTCTGTCTTTAGATTTCTGTTATTACCCAACAGTGCTAGGTATTGCTAGAAACCATGAAATTTATGCGTAGCCAAACATTTCCTAGTTGCAATGAAAAATTTATGATGATACTCGCTGACCTTCGTTTGAATGAATCAATGATTTGATCCAGTCAAAGCTAATTTAGCTCTGCCAGTATTTTATTTTGAGCCTCTAGCCTCGGCTTCCTGATCGGGTAGGCGGTCCATCGTAACGATCGATGGACCGCCACCGAATGGGCTCGCCGAGGCGTATTTGGCGTTTAGCACAGAGTTAAGGTAAGCGATTAGTTAGAGAATGTCTGTTTCGTAGATCTTGTTTCGCAAAGTTGAAGTCGCAAGCTGAGGCTGCGACGGTGAGCTCGTGATTTTCGTGGACACCGATCCTCCTGGCGACGCCGCGAGCGACGTCAACGATCCGGAGGTGTGCGAGGCGCAGATGCCGGATGCGCCATGATCAGACGCCTTATGCAAGATGTTGCTCTCTGATCCGGTTTTCTTCAAGTCAGGCTTTGGCGGCGATAGCTTTTGTAGCAGCTGTAACCTGTAATTGTCAATGGATAGGCGTCGTATAGGCGATGGCTGAAATGGTGACTGACGGCTTCACAAATGAACATCGACAAACCGCACCTAATGCACCTTTGGCTTCTTTTAAAGAGAAACAATTAACTCAGTAATTAATTCTGTAGTCTTCTTTAAAGTTAAATTGAGACAAACTACAAAGCAATCACAAGTTCGTTGATGACAAATGAAGTAACTAAACACTTTTCGACATCAACCCGAAGTCAACCATTTCAGGATTTATAGAATCCTTATTATTATTATTATCTATTGTGAAATAAAATAAATTAGTATATCCAAAAGCTTTTTTAAACAGAAAGATGCTGTCCGTATCTAAAGTGATTTCTTATTGAGTACAATATAAGTTCAAATCTAGAATAAAACATCCACAAGGAGCATAATGATGGTAACTCTATTGACAGGAATAGCTACGAAGACTATAATTTCCACTTGTAAATAATGACGCTTTGCTCGTGAACGAATGAATGCTCTGTTTTATTCCACGAACGCAGTTAGAATATCTGTGTAGCGTCATAATAAATGGTCGAGATGGGGCGACAAAGTCGTTTTGCAGGTTGTCCCGTTAGTGCTTCACTTGCCTTGCGTATTGCTCTTGTAGTAACTTCTGTTTTTTAAGCAATTCCTGATGTCTCTGCTCCAATAGTTCCTGTCGATTCTGGGTACCGTCTTGCGAGTTCACACTTTCCGAGCTGCCTGAGCTGTTCTGCTCGCTGATTTTCCTGTAGTTTGTTAAAAATACGGGCGCAATACCATCAGTTACTTCAAACTACTATATGCGCAGTTCGCATGTCTTTCATTTACGTACGAAGTCTCTGAGCTGGCAACCTCGCCTTATTGTCTACGTAAGTGACACAGTCGGCTAATGTAAGCTTTGTCTGAAAAAATAATTGTGGGTGCTTTCGTTTGCAACAGGGGAAAAGAAATCGATGGATAAAGAGACGCTGATTTCGACTGATATGGCTGAGGTCAGCCGTTGAACACGGATATGGAAACGGTGATGTCTGGACTTTGGCGGTGGTAAGAATAGACTTGTCTTTAATATATAAACAAAAGGACAGGCCAGAATAATGACGGTAGCGTATCATACTGACCGATTGAACAACTTGCGCTTAAGGGTTTTCTTCTTGAGGCAAAGACGAGGAACAAGTGGACTTCTTCGAAACTCTCTCACTGATTTTTCCAAACCGTTTAGCGACTGGTTCCCAGAATGACTAGGTTAACTGCTATAGGCTATTAGCAATGTTGAGCAGCAGCTGAATAAGCTATAGTAAGTACCGAACTTCAAATGATAGCGTTTTTCATCGCGACCTTACTGAGTTCACTAAGTCTAGGTACCTGACAACATTTTGTCAATCCGTTCTGCTACAGAAGCTTGCAATGTGCTTCAAAAATGTCATTTATTAATTATTATCATCACGACCCAAACGGTAGGCAGAAGAAATCACTGTTGCTCCCATCATCGTCGTAGGCAACTTATAATCTATTAGCACTTGCCGCACAACGGCGATTTGTAGTCTGATGGTAATTTAAGTACGTTGACAAAAGCTTGATGGAGTAACTGACCGATTGCGATTATCGATCATTGATGACGAGGGAGCAAGAAGCGCAGAAAGGTCACTGTGAGAGACTGAAATTTACCTGATTGAGGGAGGTTCCGACTGGCATCTGCGGGCGGTCTGCTGCTGTTGCTGCTGCTGCTGCTGCTGCTGAGTATTGTTGCAACTGTTGTTGTTGTTGTTGTTGTTGTTGTTGTTGTTGCCGTTGCATTTGTTGTTGTTGCTGCTGTTGTTCATTGTGCTTGTCGTCGAGGTGCTGGACGCTCCAGCTCCGGTGGGGCTCTGAACGGGGCTCTTGCTCGTCGTCCTAGGGGGAGGAGGCGGCGGGGTCTTCTTAGCGCCTACGTTGCTGCTAACACCACTGTTGTTGCTGCTGCTGCTGCTGCTGCTGCTGTTGCCTACGGGGGCACCTACGCTAGCTCCCAGCGGCAGCGTCGAGGCCGATTTGCTCCGGTTGTCTCCATTTAGGCCGCTGTTACTACTGGATACGCTGCCGCTGTTGATCATCGCTTCGACCGATACAAACCTGTCGCAATGACAGAGCAGATTTCCAAAGCTATTTGCGTTAAGGTCTTAGCGTCGCGTTCGGGTTCAGTGGAGGTGTATGTGAATCTAACGGGTTGTACTTATGAACGTAAGCAACCACATACATACACGGGTAAATGTTATTGGGTTTTATGCTGTTTGCTTAGTCCGAGAGACGTCTACAAGATTTCGAGATCGATAAACGAGCTGCAGAGAAGTTAGACAATACGACCGATTGATTGTCCACGAGATAATTTGGACAACTGCCGATTGCTGGACTGCAGTGAATGACTGAATACTTTCGGTAATGATATCCTCTATGGTTGGCACTTTGCTTTATCATCAAAGTGTTGTTATATACAGTAAATGCTATGCTTAGCCTTATAAGAAGAAAAGAAACGTTTGTTAACTATAGTGATACATACCTTTTGCTAGGGGACTCGGTTGTGCGCGGCGAGAATGTCTGCAGTTCGTCAAGCAGGGCGTCAAGCGCGTTTTCAGAGCGACGTCTTTCACGTGTCGTTGATGGAGCTCCAGGTCCGACACTCAGTCCACTCAACCCCCCCGGCCCCGCGGAGCTCTAGAGTGCCATTGGGTTATCGTTGTCGGTGCAACAACACGTACGTCGTAAGTGCGTCGAATAATGAAATGAACAATGGGACATAACAGAGATAAAAGAGAATGAAAAAAACAGAACCGTCATAACATTGGAACGTTGCATATTATATATACCTTTAATAAGAGTCACGTCGGAAGTCGGAAGAAACTTGTTAAACTGTACTTACGGGGTGAGATGATTTGTTTAGAACAAGATTTTCTACATATATCGAAAATACGTTAGGCTTCAGTTAAATAATTTGAATGACATTTTAGTATTTGTACCCGCTGTTCATTGAAGAGTGCATGATTATATGGCAACGTCGTTGTTAGTACTGCGACTACGGTCCAGCGATAGCGCACCCTCGCGCTCACTCACCCACTCAAATAGACTATCTGTTAGCATCATTCGGCGCATGAAGATATGTCATTCGTAGGCGGATGTTCAATATTCATTATAGTATTGGTTGCAATAGCGGTGATGTTAGTGCTAGGGAATAGGTAGGACGAGAATAGGCCAAAGATTGAAAACTAGTTGAGTGATGATAGAGAACAAGAGTATCTACGTGGTGGCGAGTGACAAACCTCGCTCTTGAGCTGTTTGCGCGGCAGATGATGGCCGGATGCGGAGGACCACGCTTGGCCGGGAACGCCAGGGCCGGCAGTGCCCCTCGGTTGCGCACAACCCTGCGACCCCTGGGACGTCTGGCATGCATTCGAGATGCTTTGGCTGGGTTGTACTTGCACAAGTTCCTCAGGCGCAACTATACTTAAGCCACCTCCGGCAGAGGGGCCTGGTTCGCCATCTTCGTCCTGCGGCTCTGGGGTCCAACCCACTGATGCGCAGCCTCCGCGGAACTGACTACGAGGTCCAATAGTGCAGGCAGGTGTGACCGAAGGAACATTGGTAGGATAGCCGTCATTTTCATCGACCGATCGATCAATGGTGCCGAAGTGCAGCCAAAACGCACCCAACGATTGCAATCCGTTCAGAAGAAGATGTAGCCGACAAAGGCATCATAGGAACGTTGGACAGATGGACAGAGACGCCAGAGTTCCAGGTGCCAGCGGCAGACGAAACGATAATATATGGACGATATAGAAATATACAAGTATATACAAAGGTGAGCAGATAAAAAAAGGAACAGGTAAAAGAGAGAAACGACTAGAAGCGTAAAATATGAAGTACGATAACCGGAGTAGGGAAAGACCGCAAATGGCCCGACTAGCTAGCAAGGATATCGGACATCGCGCACCTTTTGGATCAGTCAGTGGAGAAATGATGCTTGCAATAGTAGTAGCAGAAGTTCTAGGAACTAGAACTAGTACAAACAGCGAATATGACGACGGCAAGAAGACGAGCGGAAAAAAGACGTGAATGTATGAATAAAACGTTACGGACGGGAGACCAAGACCACAGGACAATGAGGCTGAGGATTTGAATGGAACTGAATGAGTAACAAGAGGAATACCACCGCGTAGCATCGGTGGTAGCTGTTTAAGGACAAAATAAATGTTTCGAATTTTACGCCTGGTGCTCAAACCGTTAGGCATTGCTCCGGACGGCCGGCTGCCAGGACGAGACGCAGTGTATCTACGCCCGAATTCCACCAGGTGCTCAGTAAAGAAACACGTAACCACTGCACGGTCGATTGAGAATAAATGAACACGCGACGCCACATGGCAACAAAGTACAAAATAGCAAGAACCTCCGGTTGGGGCCGACGCGTTTAGGACTAGATCTGTATCTGTATCTATTTTTGGGTGAAGATCGTACCGACCGGTCAGATTTTTTCGATAGTCATTTATGAAGTATTAAGGGGCTCGCCCTCTAGGCATAATGGTTTCTAAGGAAGGCACACGGAGGTTCTTGCGCCAGCAATACATGACTTGCAGTAAACCTGAGGAATCAGCACAGCGGATGAAGGCAAACATTGTCATCACCATCATCGTAATCAATCGTGTCATTATCAGCAACAACAAGAGGAGCGGTATCATCATTATCATTGCCCTTTGTGAGAGTGGACAGAAGAAGTGGACGAAGGGAACAATCTACAGCCAGAAAGGGCATGACGCATAACCATAGAAGTAGTTTAAAAAACTCTGCTGTGTTTTTGCTGTACAGTGTGCATCCCACGCCCTGAATGGAGGCACCTACCGACGATGCTACAGTGCAGATATACGTAACACTTTGACATTAGCATTGAACAACAAGAACAGGGCAGGCAAGCAAACAAGCTTCCGTGCATCATAGATGAACGGGCTCGTGATGTGGCGAATGTTTTATTTGCACGCACACATATATATGTACGTATTTCAAATTATTAGCACACGGACTCGATCATTTCTATCTTCTGGACTAATTGTTGCTGATAACTTTGCCCATTGAATAATGTGTCCGTATATCCGTAAGGGAGTGAGATGCACACCGGAGTTAACTAACAGGGCAGAGTCGTTTGCAGAAATAACCACAAGCGAAACGTTTTTCGAGGAGGTGTCGATAAAAACGAAGAAGCATCCGATTTCCCTGGCACAGGGAGGGAAGCACTTCGATACCATCGCAAGGCCACTATCATAGTGATAACATTACTATTACAAGCTGCTGTAGGTGGCTAAGTAGGGTATACGTGATTAAGATTTATAACACTTTCAGTGAAGCATTCAAATGTTCCGTTACTTACATACGTTTAATTACGAGTGTTCAAATTAGTATGAGTTCTATAACATTATCATTATTATAATATATAATTAATTCATTCCAGCCAAGCGTCAGCGGCGTCCCGGTACGAGGTGAGCGTGGTAGTATAAGCAATATATACAACGATATAACATACTGATTGACCGCTCACTCAGTATCGGTGATAAGGTACACTGTGGGTCTGTATATAATTTATTTTCTATGTCTAAGGTACGGTGAATCGTAATGAATGTATGGCAAACGCATGATCAGGAAACCCGCAGATTTTAGAGTCATGTTGGTACAGTAACGCTAATAATGATGTGCAGAAAATATAAGGCAGAAAAGAAGCTTACCGTGGCAGCAACAGCCGGTAGATATACAGAAAAGCACAATTCCAACCGACATAGGGACAGACTTGACACGGACAAATGGTCAAGGATTATTAAGTGCCAATTATGCCGAAGACGGGTTCCTTTTGTAGGTTGTAGGCTTTGGTAGGCTTATCACCCGGAGAAGCAATAGTCATTAGTAAACTTACTGTCTTTGTATGTATTATATATTTAAAATTAACGAGCCACTCTATGTTAATAAAACATATCTAACCTTGAGCTGAAAGCTTGAAGATTTCCCTTCCCCAGAAATCCCGAGCGCCCGAATAGTGGAAAAAGCTATTATGTGTATACTTATTAAGTTATATTTAAATGCCTTATGTTCCACCCGTGAGCCCTCCCGTTGTCCGGGAATGTGTCTGCTCGTGTAAGCAAAACGGACCTTAATAATGTGATTAGTATTTTCGGAATGTCTGACCTTGCAGATTGTGATATACGTTGCTAAGTAAAATTTATGGGCTTACTACTCATAGTATTGAAAACACTGATTTTTTGCCCAGGTATAATCCAGTACTCATGAATTAGCCAGTGAATCGACAATATAACCCTGCCTAACACGGCCCTCGTTCGCATAGTAACCGATCGTCTGTGAATTGTTTTTTTCTCAATAATTTTATTTCTCGACTACATCTCAAGCTAACTCCTCCGAATGTACGCCCGCCACCGCCTTTAGGCACTGCTTTAAACAGTTGTCCCCTGTTGGCACGAAACAAAGTGTGTCTACGGCTGGATTCGAACCTAGAGCACCACTTATCCAATTACATCTAAAGTAAAGCACGCTTAGACAATATGGAGCCGACCTATTCGGCGAAGTCGAGTGTTGGGGGTCTGGTTTTATCGGTTTAAAATACATAGAGGTCACAAAAATGGAACAACGAATATTTAGAGCACGACTGTTTAGGTTCAAAAAATTGGTTAGGTGGCACAGGAGGAATGACCGACGATCGAAAACGCGGCTAGCGATGGTAACACGATAGCTAGAAGCATTGGCAGCACCACTGAATGGACTCTCATCGGCGAACGAAATACAACCAAAGGAAAACAAATAGAAATAGAATGAAGAACCCACAAGCGAACAAAAGAAAATTAAAATAATGACAAAATAAGTGCCGAGTTGAAAACATACACCATTTACACCTTTATTATAAAATGCCTAAATGAGCATCTAGTCATATGTCGAATGAAAATGTAGCACGTTACCATCGGGCACAGGAATGTTGTCTTAATTAATTTGTTTTTATTATATTACCATCATATACGTTTTTGAACGTAGCACGACTGAATTTGTAACTTTGAGAAGTTCATTACAGATGTAATACCTGTCGCTTATATATAGTTCTAGAACAAGAAATGTTGAATTTAATTGGATTTTTTTAGCTGAATTACATTTACTAAATACTCATTATATTGCATAATCAAATGCCATGTGATGGATCAACATAACCGTCCCACGGCATCGTATTAGTACACTATTAGTAGACCACAATCGTTATTTTTCGATAAAAACGACTATTCACTTTCTGAAATTTTCTCTATAGAAACTCGGAACGAATAAAACGCAGAAGTACATTTGGTAGAATAAGCCCTGTTTTCCGTTAGTCGTCGGTCAGATAGAATAGAAGGGGCCGCGGGGTGGGTGGGAAGTGGGGTGTGGTACCAGTTACACAGAGGCAAACCTGGGGGGTTAGGCCACAAAAGAAAAAGAGCTTGCAGAAGATGCTTCGTTTGTTCATTCACTGACAATTGAATTAAACAACGGGCGGACAGTTGTCAAATGTTCGATAAAGTCGAATGAAGCATTGCCATTAAATCTAATAAGACTATCAAGGAGGCACAGTGAAGAAGAAGTACGTTGTGTTGAGAGTGAAAATCGACAACAGTGAGAGCAAAACAACGAGGGGGAAGATCGATAGGATATTAAATATGGCATGAACAAAAACTGTATAATTTAATAACAATAGTCTGTTTGATCATACTCAATCCTTTCGCGGAAATGCGAACTCGTCTTCCAGCTGAACTTCAGGGCGCTCTGCTGGGGCGAGAAAAGCACAAAAGCGTGAGTTGATCTAAATGACATAAGCTATAATAGAGCTATTAACGAGTCTAGCATTTGTTTGCTCTAACATGTTCACAATATATATATATATATATATATATAGATCAGTAAATAGATACAGAGGATAAGAGAAAGCGGGTACGTTAGCACGAGCTAATATAAACGTAACATTCAACGAAGTTGACGATTATTTTAATAGCAGTAAAGTAATATTACAAGTGAGTTGTGATCTTCTCTTTATAGCGCTTGGCAATAATCATAATAGGCTATTTTTTTTTTTTCGGAGCTTCATTTCATCCATAATCAAGATGTAAATGGCGATATGGAAAAAAGTTGCTTAAAAAATATTCTCGGCAAAGCACCTTTTGAAAAATTGAAAATGCCAAAAAGCACATTGAAATGTACGGAACCAAAAAAGGCCGGATTCCATACATATACAGTGATTATGACAATGAAGATGAGTTTTGCTAAAGTTCCCATAGAGAATCAAAGATGTTAAAAAGTTATGATTTTTGCTTTGGACCACGCTAAGAAAGGCAAGCGTTGCGCCAGGTTTTCTCACCCGGCTGTACGCAATGGCACTTTATAACAAAAATATGAAAGAACAAAACAGTTCGGGTATTGGCTATTCAGCTACCTCTTGTATGCTATAGATTATAGTTCCCCAATTTTGCTGTTTTCGTACGTTCACCATACGACACTCCCTCATTTTCGGACAGTAAAGGACCGATGTGGTAGCTTTTTCTTTTAGCTAGACGCATTTCTTGGCTTGTTTCAATATATACGCACTTAAAGATTACTCTCCCTCAAGTTAGTATCACGTCGAGACGCCTCTCCCTCCAGATTTCTAGCGCTATCGTCGTTTTTCTTTGTATTCGAGGCCTCCTTATCGACTTTTTCGAAGGCCATCAGGGGCTCGGCGGTAAGTTCAGATGCCATTACTGGTGGGCTATTTTCATCAGAATCAACGTCATTATTACTACTGCTACTGTAACTATCGGTTGCGGACGAGGATGCCTCTTGTTCGGCTAATGGAGGCCCATCTTTCGTACGTTGCTCATCGCAATCGAACTGTTCTGGTTCGGCGATAACGGCATCGCCTTCGGCAACATTTTGTTGTTTAAGTTGTTGTTCGATGGGGCTCTGCTGGTCGTGGCCAGGAAAGTTGAGTGAAGAAGGCGTTGCTGTAGCTGCTGTGCTTGTTGTTGGTTCATCCACCAGCGATGTTGTACTTACTCGGGACTGGCTGGCCTGGGTAGGCTCTCCGTCGCTGTGACTATTGTGGCTGTGAGGTCCAGGTCCGTCTGCCGAGACGGACTTCTCGGGTAAAGATGTGTGTCGCTGCTCTTGAACCGACGCGAGTCTACGGCGATACATTGAAAGCAGACGTTTGTGCAGTGGCAGCGTCCGTTTAGACATCGCCAGATATCCGTCATGAGCATCCATCCAGACATAAATGAATGAATTGATTTTTGGTTAGTATTGGGAAAGTACAGTGTTACGGAAAGGCTACTGCGCAAACGATTCCATGTACGTTGTCTGCCTGAGCTTGAGGTACTATTCGTGCTGCCATTTTTCAATCATTTGAACAATGTTCTATTACAAATCATGGGCAAATGGGTTGTTAGTAGGGTAGGTGGGAGAGTGTTAATGACGGACCGTTTGAGTGTGACCAAGGTTCCCGTGAGTTTCTTGCATCTCCTCAGGGCATTTTCGAGCCGTTCAGGCTCTTCCTTGAGGAATTTCTCTTCGCGGACAACCGTCTCCATTTCGCCACTAATTACGGCTTTCATCGTTTCCTGAAGTAGCAAAAAAAACAGATCAGAGAAGGCCTTCTATACCATCTTTAATTGGTGGTAATGGATTATTTGATATAGTTGTAAAAAGCTAAAGAACGTAGATTGTTTTCTTCTAGGCACAACTATCGATTTGGCTATGCGAACGTGTCCGCATCAAGCTTATTGGATTTTTTTTTTCAAATAGCTGCTGGCTTAAATAATTCTTCATTATCAAGCATTAGACATACCTGTAAAGCGGGGAATCGGTTCTTAAGGTCGGCAACGGTGCGCGACGCCTTGGAGAGCACAAGCGCCATACTCTCCACGTTGGACATATTAACGCGACAGCGACGATTAATTACGTTCGAGCGAAGCTCTTCGACTTGCGTCTCCAACTCACTAGCAATTGCGAACAATCATCCAGTATTGAAGATCCGTTGACGTTTAAATGATCCACGTAATAATTGATTAGCGTTGTCGGGCGCACATATACACAGCCAATATGGCCGGTCGAGAACGTATGAGATATTGGCATGGGGTAAAGGATTCGGCGAAGGATTTACAGGTAGTAATGGCACATCAGCCATACAAATACACCAAGATAAGGACGTGTTAGTAGTTCTACGGCACACAAGGGCAGTTAAAGGTAACGCAGAAGGGAGTGACCACAACGTTCATGTAACTATATAGATATAGTTAGTATATGATAGAGATATGAAAAATAATGTAATAACTAATCAGGGTCTTTACTCAACATTAAAGACTGTCTCTATTATTCGTCCTATTTCTTTCTTCAGGTGGATTTCTTTACAATAGCTTTACGCAACTATTTAATATAAACAATTAGAATTATCTTTAAATTAGTTGCACTTGTGAAATAACCATACTTACTTATAGGTTTTGAGCGACAACTGACTTGCATATTAGTTAAGACGGAAAGCAGAGGGATGAGTATATTGATATTAAACTGGTTGACTTACGCAAGGTCCTTTTCGAGGGTCTGAGCATCTGCATTGTAGGAACCTTCTTGTCGGGAGATTCTAATTCGCTCACGGGCGGCTGCTCCCGCGTCTCCCGACCCCTGAAGCAACTCCTCTTTTTCTTTCTCTTTCTCTCGGTCCTCCTTCTCCTGGGAGATCTTCACGCGTACAATCGCCTCGTTGATCTTTGCGCACGTATCCTGTGGTTAGACACAAGAATGAAACGTAAATACGACTGACCCCAAACTCACTGGTAGCATATGACTAATATAACACAAGCAATACGAAGTACGCTATCAGAAGCCTCGCCGAATGATGGAAATGTTTCACCTGTGTAATAGAAAATGATTCAGAGTGCCCTATATAGGGTGAGGATAAACGTCGCGCAAATTGCAAAGCGGTTACGTAGCTAATCTTTCTAATATTTCAATAAAAAAAATGCCCCAAACAGGGTATTAGTCAAAAATAAGTAAGGTGGGTTGCTTATAGCTGTAAATTATAAAAATCCTTTGAAACATTGCCTTAGCATTGGCTAGGCAAATTTAGCTTATAGCCCAAAGCATGGCAAGCTGATAATAATAATAATAATAACTATTATTATCTGAGTCCGAGATTGTTACTCACCTTGACAGCCTCCTTAGTAGCGGCTGCTTGAGCCTGCGCCATTCGTCGCAAGTTTCGTACTTCGGCACGCAGCTCCTTCGTGTGCCTACGCAATTGGCGTAGTTGGGCGCACGTTTCAGGCGCCAACGGAACGCCCACATCTGCAAGCGCAAACATAAAACAAGTAATAAAAGAGGCTTGATGTATTTATACATGGTTCGACTATTTTATTGAGGCGGTAGGCAATGCGAAACTAGGGGAACTGGCGTATGTTATAGCATGGAACAAATGTTACGTTTTTTCGTTTCGTTCCGGGGCAAGCTGTTGCACTGCTAAATGTTAATCATTTTATTATATAGATAACTATTATTAGCGGACGTTAAAGGGGTATGGCTTTTTAGTTTTAATTGGCCAGATCATAGATGCCGCTAACACGCCTACATCTGCACCGGCTGTAGCGCGGAGCTCTAAACGATAGTATGTCTCGTTTGTGAAAAACTGGACCACAACAACAATATCAACAAGAGAGTCAGTCCCTTTGGTACTATTTGCCCGATTATTTAAACGAAATGTACTTAATCACGGAGCCATAAAATAGTGACTAGACAAAAGTTCAAAATGCAAGTTATGTCTGCGTATATAGACGTTAAGCGTTAAGGACAGAACGCCACTGCAAAAACTATTTAGCGGTGCATACTTATATTAATAATTCACTCAAGCTAACTAATAAGTAAGCTAAGTTAGAATGAGTCTCGATTCACACAGAAGTCGTATGTTTCTTACTTTTACTTTACTTTACTAAACAAAGGTCGCCCTGGGTAGCAATGATCTGTGCTGATGATTAACAACGAAACATAGTTATTATTATGATGAGATTACAATGCCCAGCACCCTGTAAATGGCTGCTCTTTGAAAAGCTTTGACTGAATCAATAAACGAGAGCGTACGTTTGTCCGTGAAATATGAATCGACTCAAACCTGTACCTTCAAATGACATCACCGACAGAAATAGGCCATATTTTACATTTTCCATGGATTCGATTGAGTTTCCTTTGTTTCTATCTTAGCTATTATTTTCCTGACATGTATTCATCAGCTTTCAGTAGATGCACTACAAATCATACTTGTCGGTGGTTAGTAGTAAAGACCAAATAATCTCTTCCATGTGCAATCTAGGCACCGGAAATTGCACCTATCGGCTTGTATACAGATTGTTTTACACACAATTTATAGCTGTTTAGTTGGTCGTAGGCATTTTTTTTTTCTAACCTAGGGTTTCCTGGAAGGCCACGTTGAATAGGTGTTCGTAAAATACTCGTCTTGCGAACATCTGTTGTTATTGAATTTCGACAGACCATTATCAGTGGCATCCCAGTATTTAAGAAACTTCCGTGTGAAGTTACGATTGTAATGTTGCCTTAGTTCTTCAGTACGTTTTCGCTTTTCCATATTGGAGTGAACGAATGAATATTCGGGTATTTCTATGTTGAGTAACCTATTACGACTTGTTTCTATCGAGAGCCGATATCCTTACACTCTCGATGGGTCTGTAGCTAATCGTATGATGTAATGCACCATGTGATGATAGCTTGTAAACTTTTCGGTTTAATAAAGCCCCACGCGATTTGGGCAAAGCCAGCTTCAACGAACGACCCGCTCACCTGTACCATTGTTGCTGTGGGAAAATGCCGAAGCTGCTGGTTTAGGAGGAGGCGGTGGCTTGTTAAGGCGCGACTCTTTGTCGGGAAGGGCGGGCGGTAGCCTGGACGGGTCGAAGTCTCCATCTGGATATACATTCGCCGTTCGATTAACGTCAGCAGCCGCATGAGTTTGAATGCGCACAAAGACGCACACAGGACGCCACAATAATAATGCACGACGTAAAATTTACATATAATGAACCAGTACGAAACAGTAAACTGGGATGTAAATATGTTGATATCTCCGGAAAAAATGTTGGTATTAAACAGGACCACGCTTGCAAAAACGTACAAATGCCGACATAGTATGTGACTGGACAATTAACTAACTCCGGAAAAAGGTTCGTTTCGGGAAAGCGGAAAATCACTGGAGGTTGAACATGAACCATGATTTCAACACGCAGCAGCACTGCGGAAGGCTGGATTTCATATTTATCAACTGAAACTGCGCCAGAAGAAATTTGTTTGTGCTCAGTTTTATTCTCACTTTAGAAGAGAATAGATAAACTAGCAAAAGCTGTTTCCGACGCTTCTGCCGTAAGCTGATCATACTTTACCATACTTAAAATACCCTAGCATAAGCGCATTAGAACGAGCTCTAAATTAGCGTACTTGTTGATAGAAATGGGAATGGATTACCGCACTGATGCCAAACTAAAATCTACGCGAAAATGCCCCATCTCAGCCAATACTTCATATCTAACAGTTCACAGAAAAATGTGAGCACGAGGAAAGGCCTTAGGTATTTATTTATAGTGAATCACAAGGGCTTCCATAGAAAAGACACACTCAACAGATGACAATATATTGAACGGCGCTTCGATGGAGAGAAACTAAGGAAATTTTAATTGAGGACTAAGCACGATAGCAACGTGGATATATGGTACTGTTCGAGGCACATCAAGACTCTGATACAGTTGTTAAGGCGTTCATAAACACTGCATGAAAATCTATATAATAATTCATACAATCTGCTTTACTACGAGAAGGATCACTTGGAGGTTTTTGGCTCGTTCTTACGTAAAAACTTCACCTTTACAGATGGGGACTGCTTGTTTCAAAGGACAACCTTCGCTTTAGCTAAATGTGTCGCAAATACATATTTTTCATCCCTATTTGCAATCATAGAATTATTTAGCTAATTTATGCCATGTTTTTTTTTTTTATTTTTATGCGTTTTTGCTTTAGAAGCATCATCTTCTTTAGAAAGCAGCGCATGCTGACGCATGAAGTAGTACAAATCAGCAAATCATTTTCTATATACATATATATTCTATGTGATAGGTTTTAAGGGCACCAGTGTGCCGTGCAATGTACACAAGTGTTCAACAAAAAACGTATAATTGATAGAATATACTAACTTCATGCTCATTTGGGTTTATTGCATTATTATATATATACAGACACTTGTTTCTACCAAATTGTATTGATGTGTGGTATTAGAAGTATACATGGATGTTATGCCTCTTTGTATAACGGATGAATCTGTGATTTTGCGAGAAAGACTGCCCGTAAATAAGGCAGGACTCGGATTGTATTAAACTTAAACATGTGTCATTTTTTCAGTGTTATTATTATTATAGGTATTTTTCTCTCACTACAAAAAGATGCAAAAGTAAAAAAAAAAAGCTTAATTATTGTTCAATAAAGGTTAGTAACTAAATCAATCTACAAGCCTTAATTTGAAACCTACATATTATAGAAACTTATTTTCTTGGCAAATGAAGCATCCTAGCCACTCAAACGACTTGTGGTGGTTGTTATGTGTCGATTCTAAATATAAAATGAATCTCTTCTTCACTAACTTTTTCGGCGTTATTACCAAAAGCTTAGCTTTTGTACGTATCGCTGAATGTTGCTTGATCGCGGGTACAAAAGAAAAGTGGATAAATTAAAGCACCTAGAAACCAGCGTTTTTTTTAAAAGAACGTTGAAATATATTAATAAAAGAGTCTTGAAATAATTTAAATATGACGGATAAAGAAAGAAACTCGCAAAGACTGTCCTAGATGTACTCGTAGATAGATATATATATATATATATATGCTCGATTAACAACCATATATACAGAGCGACAGCCAATATATTGGGACGCTTCAGACTTCACCCGTTTCTAAGCTGCATTTTAAATGAAAACAGTTGTTTCAATAACATTGTCTACATGTGTCAACAGAGACATCCCTCGCAGAAGTGCGTCCTCAGTGTGATGTTTCGCTGACGGCATCGGTTCGGGGTATAAATAACTTGTAAGCCTCTGTCAAAATATTCCTATCCAATCATTCCTTTAGATGCCTTTTCAATACCGGCATCACCATGTTGACATTTATTCGACTCGTTTCATATATAACAACCCAGGGAATATTCAATTCTAAGTTACTGCGTCGGCATCGGTTCTGCTTCTGGAACATGCCTAACCAGTCCTAGACTGCTTCGCTTGTATCAACGGATATGTCATGTTGATGAAGTATCTTTGACCTATCGTTCGACATAGTACTATCTACGATTATATCATATACACTTCCTCGTTAACGAAGACTTTCTGTGAAAATAAGCAGGACGGCACGACGCAACCCTTAGAATAAAGGGAATCTGGGAGCTTCTGCTGAGATTTGATAACGTAGAACCTGTATCTGTTGTGTTAGAAAACGATTTGAGCCATCCAAAAGTTAGCCATGAGAGCGCGCATGGACAGTGCAGAATAACCAGACACGCACTTATACATTTTGTAATTAGTTGTGGAAGCGTATGGATGTCCTGTCGCAGTTTCTACCAGTCTATAGAACAACTATTTTTTGTATTCTCAGTAGCCGTATACTCTGTCGCAATGCAGTACACCGCTTACTTAGAAGTTAAGCCAGTTCATGGCCTCGTTGAGGGTTTCTACAGGGAAAAAGTGCAAATTATTCATTAAAAATTTTTATGTAGTCGAGAGCAACTCTTCTAGAATTAATATGCTTTGTTATATTGTCAAGTATAACGTATATTCCAATATATCGCTGCCAGCTTGTGTATATATGGATCATACCTGAGATAGATAACGACAGACATTCATCACGAAACATTATCATCAAAAAATATCGAACAAACAGAAGCAACTCATGGAAAAGAAGCTGCACCCCACGCAAAGAATTCAGTCTTTTTTTCGCAGTCATACGAACAAACGAAAGGCAGTATATTTAGAGAAGTGATAATAGGGAGGGCGAAACACTACAATTGGCAGATTGTTAAAAAATCACTGACCCGATACAGAGTACGAGCGAAACCCTTTGAGGGCAGGCCTCATTGGTCTATTGGCTGCAATGAAAAATAAGAATAACAATTGAAGGTTTGATGAAGTTAATACGTCAAAAGTGATTACTATTTTATGGTTTCCATCATTGCGCACGTCAGGAAGAAGTTACATCTATTACGATAGGGTAGTCAAAGATAACAGTATTTTAAAAGAAGGACTTCAAAACAAATAAATATTTCGTCAAATTCAGAGAAAATTTGTACAATATTGTGCCTAATGATACGGTCAGTAATTGCGTATCAGTAAATGACATCACTTCAAGGAAATTTCAATCTGCGAATACTACAGAATGTACTTAGTTCTAGTACATCCTTAATTGTACAATTGGATATAAATCAAGTTAAATATTTTCTTTATGTTCGTTTAAGAAGCCATTAATTATACCTTGCGCCGAAGGTGAATGAGACGAGGACGTTAGGGGTTCCTCACAGAAAGACACCGATTTTTCCTCTGAGAGAGAGTAGAGGCAGGCGCAACGAAAAGAATCATGCCAGAACCCATTTAGAGGGACGATATGCTGATAAGAGTAATGCAGTAAATTTTCGCCAGGGAAAGTGATCAGGGGTAGGTTAGCCAAATGTGATGAGGTATGAGAATTCCTAGTAGAGCTAAAGGCAAGCTAAGAACGACTTCACGAACTCCAAGAGAGTACTTATGACGGAGTTCGAAGCCACTAAGGGCAATACGCTTGATTACTGTGCTGGCGACGACTCTAACCAGCCTTCATAAGGAAAAGGCTGGGGCAAAACTTCGACGATGTACTTAATACAAATGGATCATCTACAGAATAAAGCAACGCCAAAAACGTTTTTGGAAACTTTTCTGGGGTGACCTTATGAGGCTTATCCACCTGGCTTGCTCGTTGACAAAGCCGTTAATGGTTTCTAGATTATTTTTTGCTATTTGAACAAAGAGTACGTACTGTTTTACTTAATGAAGCAATCTTTATTGAGATGGGTTTCATCGTCTGAGTGGCGGCCTAGTAACACCGAAATGAAAAAACGGGTTATCTGTCAAAAACGGGCAAAGGAAGCTTCCGAAGGAAGAACGATATTGAGGCTAAGACCATAAAAATATGATCAGATAGCAAAAAATCAAAATACCTTTAAACGACTGTCTTGGCTTTGATATTGGCATGTTTAGCGTGGACGATGGTGAAGAGCCGTCTGTGAATTTATATATATATACTTTTAAGTTTTGAAGATTTTTATAAGCAGCTGAATTAATAAGAATAAGAGGAACAGCGCTAACTTTATAGCTCTTATTTAAAAAGAACCATTCGACATGTTGACCACTGTGTCAAGCCTATTGCGCATAAACTGTTTTCTATTTTGTTCCCTTAATTTTCGTTTGTTTAAACGCCTATTTTGGTGCAACCTAGTTTTATTAGGTGCTTATTACTTCAGTTATCCGTATTGCTGTTATATTAAAATCTTGTGGTTAGCAAACACAGTTAGATTTTATTACGTAGAAAATCTCTATCAAACAATAGGGCTTTAAATTCCCACTAATGGCGCTAGCTCTTTTATTTTCTATCGTAACTGTTCTTACCCTTATCGGTGTCTCTGGTAGGAATAAGGTGCTGTGGCCTGGATGCAGGATTGGCTCCCGCATGTGAAGCTTGAAGAACTCCATTGGGGGCCTGCAAGGCCGGATTCGGGCTGGTGGGGGCCAAAGCCTTATGAACCAGTCCTGTCAAACTAGCAAGTTGCCGCTCCATGTACTCCACGCGTAGCCGAGCCTCTTCATCTACTAGCGGAGCGCCTAAGGTAATTGGCAGAACAGATTGCCCGGATAGCAAAATATAAGTCGCTATACAAATCTATGAACAAAAGAGTCTTGCCTTTCAACCTTATAATTCGCAAATACAAAAAAGCACTTAGCTAAATTCATCGTTTCAGTCGATGTGGGATATGTTTAACTAAACTACATGAAACACTTCAGTCGTCAACGATGCTGCGGACAATTATGTGTGAGCGCACGCAGGTGCAGAAGAGGCGAGCCGAATCACTTCCATCTGAAGGATCTGCTTATTTGATGAACCCAATATGGGACTTGAGAGGAACTGCCTGTTCTGCGGAAAGCGCAGGACCCGGGCTATGAGGAAGGTATCCATTCGTCCTAATTATCTCTCTCCTGACATTGGGCTCGGGCCATTCTCCCACTGACCATACCTTAGTCTAGCGCCATTTTCGTTGCATAGAACTCTAACTGGAGGCAGAAATCGATTGCCACGAACTCGGTAGCAAGCACAGAAATATCATTCATATATTTACGCTTTGCACTATCGGACGTAACAGTAAGGACTGTACTAGGGAGCTCAAGTGTTTCACGTAGGTGCCAGTTTGACAAACAGTATACTCCGTATGGGAGGGTTCGTGTGAGATGAAGCAATACACTTCGTAAGCAGTCTATAGTCAATGACGCTTAGTGGGTAGTTCACCGAAAGTAGTAGAATATTGTTAAGTAAACCATCCACTTTCTTACCACCTGTTTTTCAGTACTGATTTTTCAAAACAGCATCAGCTGGAACGCCCACTTGTCGCTGTATTATAGCAACCAGAGTGAATATACTACGGAAGAAAGGTATGAATATCATGATAAAAGTACTGCTTATACTGGTGTGCGTGCTTGTTTACTCCATTTTTCCTTCACATATAAAGAATATAAAATGTGTGCATGCGTTGGCTGTTTACAGAATCCGTTTGTCACACTCACTTTCCAACCGCAGATTTTTACCAAAAAATATATTTTGTTAGTAAGCTCGAGGTGCGTGTATTCATGGAAATGGATTTTTTAAACAGTACTGCTTTTAAGATCCTTGTGCGGCCTTTTTCGATATAAAGGAGCGTGTCACTTATAGCATTCGACAGATCTTTCATCACAGAGAAAAATTGTCTAACACTTTTTTTCCTCTCTATTTAATAATTTAAGGTAAATAATATAATGAATGAATAAAAAAAATAAAATAAAAAAATCATATATATATGATATTCGACCACAATAATCTCGAAGCGTTTTTACCTTAGATCTTTTACTACAGTTACATTCGGTAGTTTTTATGATTAACCAAAAAATACAATGATATCTACTGAATGATACTTTATCCTGTTCAAATTAAATCAAATATGCTTTGCTGAAAATTTACTTCGTCCGTCGTCATTCGCATACATTTTAAGTAAGTACGGTAAAATGATCTTCATACGACCTCTTTTTAACCTCTAGGAAGTATTTTATTTTTTATAGTATAATCGAAAGCTATAAAGGTTTTTTTTTTTCGGAATTTTAATGTGTAAATATGCACCAGTATGCAAGCAATTAGCAAAAATTTAAATGTAAAGAACGTGAAGGAAATGGGTTCTAAGCCTCTTTCCATGAAGAGAAAACGTTGGAATCTCAAAAATGGCAACGGCTGCCAAGAACTCTGTGTCTGTAAATCCGGAACAACTCAGAGATTTTTAATATGTGGGTTTGGCCTGGCAAAAAAGTTCACAGAAAGCCTCGTGGCCGGCAAAACCCATTTTGATGTTTGAAAGTAAAGAAAACTATTGGAGAACTTCTACTAAGCATCACGCGCGACCCCTTTTCAAATGTCGATAACGCTGGCACACTCTGTAATGTCTTTTACCAACTATACCCATCAAAGCTATTTGCAACTGTCTATTTATCTGAATAAAACTAAGGTGGAACTGTCTGCAAATACTCCGTCTATTAGAAGCAACGATAAAACACTGGATCGTCTTTATCCGTGCCGTAGATAAAGAGCCACAGACGTTTTGCTTGAATCCACTGTACCATTTTTCACCAGAATGATGAGCCAGAGCTTACAGCGTATATACGTCTTGCACTGATCGCAAAATATTCAGTTGCATTTGAGAAGCAAATGGTATACAACGTCTGTAATGGTAACTTCATTTTTATTTCCCTTCTTTGTTGCAAGAGTGAACAGCACGCAGCTCAAATGTTTAAGGAGACCTAAAGCAATTCCAGTACAAGAAACGGGCCCTATTCTTAAATAATACCTATATCTTCTCTCAGAAAGACAAACTCGACCGTGAGTGCCTGCTTGAGTGATTGCACCTAATGCAATTGAGAACTTAGAGATATTGAATACCCTTCAATTTCTCAACAGGCTTCACATATGCGTCAGAGCTTCGAGCGTAATTTTTGGAATAGGTCCTTATTTTTATCGAGTCGTCACCTCCTTCAGTCTTTGTCGTTATCCGTAGTTTCCCATCGGACATCTTGTTGTATGTTTGAGTGTGATTTATCTCAAGGGTAAATTAAAAAATCAGATAATAGGCAAAGATCACTTACTGGGTGGTCCCTGGGCTAGTCGGGGATCAAAGAATTGGTCTGACTCTGGGTACATCATCCTCGAACTCCTCTCGGGAGAACTAAGATATCCTTCGGGGGTGCGCGATCGCGGAACCATTTCATGTGAGTAGCCTCGACCTAATTCAGTAGAAGAAACGTTAAATATGAATAGAATATTGATGATAAATTACAAATCATATTTACGTTAGAAACGGATGTAAACTGTCATGATAAAACGTTACGAGCGACGAATATGAAACAGATCCGAGATGAGTTTGTTACTATGTAGACATGAAAAAACAAATAATAAACCTATGTGTTTGAAACAAACGATGATAAACGCAACTATCTAAAGTGTAAACAATAGTTTCCGTACCAAAAACGGGTAACTGATTTTCATTTCGAAGGGGAAATGCGAAGACGACACATTCGACATGGTCACGCTATGATGTTTGATCAAAATAAACGTGTTTCTTTGAAATTTGCATTCATTTTTATAAACTATAATTGCAGTGTAGCTATGACAGATTCAAAGTCAGAGAAGGACTGTGCCGTTAAAATCGCTCGGGTTGTTCGATATGAATCTTTATCCCGTGGTCATACATGATTCACACATGATATATGATAGTTGTCAACGTTCTGGGTAAGTAACAAACTTACGTTCGCTTGCCTCCCTAGAAAAGCCTTTTTTTTCTAAAAGTACTGTAATAAGCGATAAATAGTAACGTAGGTGGTGGCCCTTTAGTTCACCCTGCTGTAAAGGTTACCGGCAGCCTCAGCTATCTTAACAAGCCCTGCCTAAGCTCCCTCTGTCTCTCCCCTCCTGTGACGTACAGAATTGTTTAAACTCAAAAACGTGCCATAAATTACTAGAAGTTGTTCAGCTTCTTTATTTATCATTGCCGGTTTATGTTCCGCTAACGGTGTCAGTATCTCTTTTGTATTGTCAAAATTAGTTGCTTCAAGTCGTGCGATTTTAACTTTTTTTTTTATTTACATTGCTTTTTTTTTACACTGTGTAACGTACAAGGCATATGCGTGCAAAAACTCCTTAACATGCGCAGTTACATGTTAAATTTAAGGCATATGGCACGATATCACTTCAGCATACAATGCGCACATTTATCGATTTCATGGCTTTTGTCATTGCTTCGTTCTAAATGGAATTAACTACAAAACGGAGAGTCCAATCTGCTCTACCATTTGTGCAGCAATCGAGAAAAAATAAAACGAAAAATTAGCATGAGCACATTGCGGTTGTACAAATCTATTATTTGCATAACGCGGCACTTTTACACCTTATGCTAGTGAGTGCTATCATTCTGGGCGGCTACAGCCGTTCGCAGTAGATGTTTGCGTCTGCACAACGTCTAAGCGAATCGCTGTATCAGTCAACTTCGGAAATTACTCACCCGTGGGCAGTTGCCTTAATGGGGGCGATTGCGGGCTATGCGGTGAGCCGAGGGGTGAGACCCCCTGCGACACAAAGCCGGCCAGCCGCGCGGGCTTCGGAGGCAACAAGCCCGCCGCTGTAAAAACACACACGAAGAACAGGAACAACAAATACACAACAAAAGCCAACAACAATCGACGCACACGAGTTCAAGCAATGCTCGAGCACAATAGAATACGCTGGACCACAAACTGTTACAATTGCAGCTATTTCTCGATTTGTCTAAGAGACCACACTGGGCTTCCACAATTTCATCGTCGGGTACACAGCTTTTTTTGAACCAGGCGACTATCATTTGAGGGAGTTGATTGCCGTTTACAGACGTGTCAATGCTTCAGAGCATGGGACTATTGCGTTTTCTGTGTTATTTTAGTAATGCGCTCTCTAGGCAAAATTGGCCGATAGAACCTTTCGACAAGACCTGCGAATAGATAATCTATTAAACTGGAACCTGTTAAATATAACATATACGTTCTGGTCCAACTCTTTATGGCTTTATGCATTAAATTGCGATAAAAAAAAGCGCAGGCCTTTCTGCATTATTTAGGGCTCTCTTAAGAGGATTTTCCATGAGCTGAATGTAATTGTTGCACTAGAGGCTAGCTATGAAAGGTTTTCTATTTGAAAGTAAAATATATATCCTAATATTATTTTGTATTTAACACAGTTATATAGTAGACATAAAATAATAAATAGTATATTTAGGCATTCTTTTGCAACTTTTCCATTTGAGCTTTAAAGTTATGGAATGAACACATGAAGGCAATTTTCACCATCGTTCAATCCGCAGTCCACTAACAACACTGAAAGCTATTGGGAAAACAGAAACGTTTTGCTGCTGAGCCGGATGCACGTACGTGCATTCGCTAGCTGAATATAATAATTAGTATGAGCAATAGTTAAAAATGGCCGTATGGCATGTAATATATTCGATCATTCGCCGCAGATATGTTTGACATTAAATTTCGCTATCTTATTTTCCTATTGTCTACTATTATTATTATTATTATCTTCCTATATATCCTATTATAAACAGCCATTAAAACTAGTTGTTGTCATTTTGTTGTATTTATTGTTGATCTTCCTCAATTTGTTATTAAGCTGGTACGTTTAAAAAAACTTATTATTTGTCTTACAAGCATGTTGTTATCGGTTTGTTCGAGCCATGTATCATTTTCGGGTGTTCGAGCTTTGTAGTATATTTTCTAATTCTCATATCTTATTGTAGAGGAAAAAACCTTAGTCTCAAACGAGTCAAATATAGAATAGTAAAGCGTACGACAAACGAAATACCCGAAACGAGAAGAAATCTGAGCCCCACTGCTATTAGAATGACTAAACGGCACACAGGGAACAGCTATACATTATAATCTTCCCTATGTGGACGGCAGCAGTATCAGGCACGTAAACATGCGAAGCAAGTCAGATAAACTAAATAGGGTGACGCAAACAAAAGCCGCAGCAATGGCAAAGGAAGATAAATTTCAGCTAAACTGCATGCAAATCAATGTTTTCAAAGTGTGTTTAACCGCATCCACGGGTGGGCATTATTTTACGGGCTTCGCGCATGCCGAGTACCAGTAGTTTGTTGCTATTTCATCATCTCAGCATATCCTCCACAGAATTGACATGATTTGGTCTTCTTCACTTTACGGGAAAGCACAACGAAATGCACTAAAAGTTGAAGGGCGATTGTCAAATAACTGCCACACATTATACCATGATGAAGGTACATGTATCTATATTAGTAGGCAATACATATGTGAATAAACATGTACATGTGTATACGATACCTTTTGGATTCGTGAGATCGTGATGGGATTGGCTCATGGGCACGATGTGAAACGGTTGTTGCTGCCGCTTATCGTCGGGAAGTCCCATCGGGACTCCCACAGCAGAGTAAGTCATACCACGTGGGAGTGTTTGCGAAAAGCCAACCTGGCCCGGTGGAGCTCCTGGGGGTCCCATTGTAGGTCCCGTGGTTCGCATAGCGCGCTCACTCGCCGCAGGGGAGTAAGGCCGCATTGGGGGTTGAGGTCCGCCACCGCTCCGATTCGCGTACATCGGAATTCCATAGTAGCTCGACCCTATTGAAAAATTATTTTCTTACTTAATCCAAAATCTATTGCGGTGCGGTTTTGAACAGAAGTTTTAAAAGCTCGTTAGTTAGGTCCGACGGTGTAGATTGCGCTACTCGTAGTGCATCTGTTGATGATGATTTTGATGATTACGTTTATTTCGTATAGTCACGTACCTCGGCCTAAAAACCGTCTTAAAGTTACTTCGAACATTCAGCTGTTGTCTGTAGAATACATATTATATCTTATCTATATGACAGAATCTGCTTTCCAGGTTGCAGTCATCCGTATGGCTTCTGTTCACAGCCCCTGGTACAATCTATGTACCGTTCAAAAACACAGCGGGATTGACGTGAGTTGCAGGGCAAAATATTGAGTAACAACTTCTCCGAACATTCCGGAACAACACGTCGTGACCAAACCAACGGCCTACAAGGGAAAAATTTCAACGTATCTGAGAGAAGACAAGAGGAAATGTAGTACGGTAAGCAACTGCCACGCCCACAAATATTTGATTGAGGAACTAAGCCCTGAACATGACAGGTGCGTCCTAGAGAGGCATATTGCCCGCATCTTTTGGCCTAATATCTTTCCTATTTCTTATAGCGAAAGCATGTCTTCCTTTTAACTATTTCCGCCGTAGTAAGACACATGTGAGTTTAGAGCATATGATTGGAGGCTCTGTTGTTGATTGTTCTCGGCGCACATTGACAAGGCTAAGAAACACGAGCCAAATGCGATAGTACATGGATACGCGGTAGTTTTTTTAACATTGCCTACAATTTATTGTATAATATACCTCAATTACGTTTCCGATACAATACCGCTAACTTTACGGAGCTGAATTAGTAAGGCAGGCCTGTCATGATGAACGCAACAGCGATAAGCTCCGACTGGCTTACCCTTTAAGCAGATTTTTTTTACCGTGATTGTCCAATTAGTACGACTGCCGATAGAAAGATTTACGTATCCACTGATGAAAACTGACGTATAGCCAGGCCCCACATAATATACTGAACTATGTCAGTCGTTTATTTAAAAACAGTCTACACTATTAAGCTAATAAAGGAGTGATTGGTTTGTGCAGTAGTGATGATTCGCAACATGATTTTACGTAAATACGGTTTTATCGCAGCATTTTGGGGGTTGTGGTTTTAGAAGCATGCATAAATGTGATCATTGATTTTGTCTGCAATACGTTTTCCTGACGAAAAAAAAAACACTCGAAGCTAAACAATTTTTGAATTGGCTGTATTGAAACGTTTACAAACACACAACTTTAACATCTTCATGAAGATATATAAAGTTAGTATAAACGAAGTTGGCTTGAACCGAGCATTTATTATTTTTTTAAAAGTGTGGTTTTATAAAAAGTTTTTTAGTTTTAAAGCAGCAGGCCACTACTTTAAAGGTCGAAGCGAGTAAAATCATTTGTAAGTGGTGTGGATAATATATCTATGCCTGTGATAGCTTAGTGGGTAACGTATTTGCATGGTAGTCTGGGTCGAACACGAGCTTTCTAGACCCACGGTTTGTTATTTGCTGGGAGCCAGCCGTTCGATGGCATGCCTAATGGCGATACCCGTCACAAAACCCAAACATAGAAGATAATGTATTTGCAGGTTTTGTTACGGTTGCGGCTAAATAAAGTGGCTTTATATCTCTAGTTGTTCGCTTTAGTCCAGATATCCATTGTAATTTAATTTTGAACTCATAATGTTCATAAGCCCTAGTATTTCCATGTGTGATCTTTAAAATGACCTCCTTTGATGATCGGTGCCTATTTAGTCATCAGCCTATTTAATTACATACTTCGTTGTATAAAGTATGCAATAGCATCTGAAGGTGAAAATGACATTCAGAAACAGCTAAACCTGGACCTATCCGTAACGGGTAGCGCGTGAACTTTATGCCTTCAACAAACATTTCTATAGGCGTACCTAATTCCCTAGATGGCTTCCATAGCTTCATAGATAATATGTGTCTGTGCCGCGGATCCAAAAATCAAAGGACCAACTAAATGTGTCTGTTGCTATCGCAACCCGTCAAAAATAACAGTATAGAAGAGTAAGATTTTCCTGAATTCTGCCTAACTCAGTTTAATATTTCATGAAATTTTTCCAAGTGAGTATGATTATAGCTGCGGAAAACCAAACCCAAACATCACAACAATATGACAACGTATTTTGTTTGACTTTTTCTGTTATTATACAGCGTGGCGTCTGAATAGGATCACGAATTAATCATGAGAAACGGCCAGACGTTCCAGGGCTAGTAGCCGTCCAGTGATATTGTTAGTGGGGGTGGCTGGTCTGTTGTATGTGTGTGAGACGATAAATGTACTGTTCGTTTACTTGCGACCTATACATAAATGACTAAGGGCTCAAACAAGAGTACATCGTTACCTTTGGGCGGTGGACAAGGCAGCTGTTGCGTTCCCCTGGGCGCCTGCTGTTGTTGACGGTGCATGCTGTGACTATTTGGATAGTCGGAATCGAACTCGGGCTCGGAGAAGTAGCTTAGATCCTCTGGGAGCAAACCGTGTTGAGCAGGTATACCACCGGGGTGCATCGGAAGTGGCGTTGGAGCGAACATGATTGGTGCCCCGCTTTGAGGGTCGTGCTCGTAAATTCGTAAGACCGAACGATCGCGGACGTCCCGCAGATCTACATGGAGAAATAACCGAGTAAAAAAGCAGCCTATATAAGTGTCGTGATTAAAAGATCAACTGAAAGTCGAGGTCAAATTGAGCTGGTCTCACAGCCAGCCATTTCAGACCTGTGCTTTTTTTCACCAAATGAACACAGTATTTGAGTATAACCAGCAGCTGAAGTTTTAGAATTTTTAGGATTTCAACGGAAAATGTCACACAAACAATTCGGTATATAAATGATAACCAAAAGGAATTTGGCAGTTCCAGAGCCTTCATTTGTCATCATCATCTATATAATGTGTATCTGTCAAGCAACTGTCTGTACATATATAAATATATACGCCTATTTTTTTTTTTTTTAACATTTATTACCTTACATAATAGAACTGAGCTCTCGCAATATATTGGCTACATCGCTTACTTTCGCTTCCCTTCGATTCCTTTACAGGCAGGAGTCTAATGTGAAGAGGTACAGCGGAGGAACGTTTTATTGTCTACTTTACTATGGCATGGCGCCATGTTGATTATGTCGACGTGGCTTTATGGGCTTTCACTAGCATCGTGAAATACTACGGAACAGAGACAGTTATTGGCTTTTAGAGAAACATCAAAGCTACATTTAATGTCTGAATATCAAATCATCCATGGCTTAACGAGGAATCTCAATAAATTGAGCAGACTGCTACGAAGACACCTATTTGCTCATGGCCTAGAAAATTTGTTTGCCTAAGAATCTGGCTGAAGTGAAGAAATTCACTGTTATAATGAGCTTTTTCAAACGTTAGTTTACTTTCGGTTTAAGTCAACGACGTTAAATCTCTCTTAAAGTCGTCAGGTTTCGATCATTAATAATCTACATCTGTACGCTTAAATGAACTAGAAAAAAAAAAAAGCTAGTAATAAAGTCGACTGGATCTTACCATTCTGTTTCGAGCCTAGTCATTTAATGGCTATTTACTAATCTTACGGAAACTGGATTATCCTTTTTCTGAGTAGCATACATATACTACTATCGAAGATGTATCGATAGGGCCTGCTAGCTGCTCTGTCCTCCTTTGACACAATCGCACGAACGCAATTTTTTCTAAAATACCTAAATTCTGTCCGGAAACAAGATAGGTTGCCTCCTATCTTAGTAGTAGAGGCCGTACAACAATAACGAGCTCATTTCATAACTCAGGTAGACTCACTGGGGCAGGAACGGTTTCGCAAGGACAATGTCGCTGACGAGTTGCAACAGTTTATGCATGCGAAATTGTATCCTTTGCGGCAGAAGACGGGCACTGTGAGCATAGTGGCAAACTACTCACTGCAAGGTCGTTCGACGCTTCACTCAGGCAAGTTCAGGCAGCGAGTGCTAAGGGCATCAAAGCAGACATTTTCTTTTGGCCGCCATCGATGGAGAATATTGAACGCTTGAGGCAATCACTGGGCCGTGCACACTGTTCCTTTTCACTTGTTGCATAGCTACCATCAGCTAGATTAGAAGTATATATACATATATAGTAGAGTGATTAGACTGGGCATTGACAGATCTAGAATAGCAACACAAGTCGCTTTAGTCAAATAATTTAAAAATGTTAATACAAATAGTAAATAAATACAATCTATTTGCCTACAATTGTAGAAACGATACTACGCCGAAAACGCTTCTGTTATGCTTGATAATCTTTAAGCGTCTACGACAGCAGGCTTTTCGAATATCTAGGTGGAACGTGGACCGTACCGTTAAGGCTCTCAACTGATAGCGCTAGAAGCCCTTTTGCACGCTAAGCTGCGCATTCAAAGTACCGGCTAGGGTAGGAGTTAGGTCTTGGGGGCACATTCGGCCAATTAAATGAAAAGCAGGATCTTGACGAAGGCCCTGTGGCAGGTGATGTGTCGAGTGGCGCATAATTATCTTGCATTCAACTTTGGAGACAGTTTCATAATACTCATACTACATCGAAAAGTAGACATAATACGTACAGTCATGGTTACCTGGTAAGCCGTTTCAATAATGCACTGGAAGTGGGTATTAGCTATTATTTTTGAGTATTCAGGCGGTCATTTCAATACAAACGTGTGTAACACAGTGAAAGCAAGGCACGTACACGTTAAGGTCAGCGAACATGAGTCTTCGCTTTAAGTATGACGCCGCATGAGTATAGAAATCCAAGGGTATATACAAGCAAAGATTTGCCAAAACATTTAAATAACAACTCTACCTTTATTAAGGAAAGTTTGGCAGAACGTTGCCATACAGCTTCGATGGCATTGAACCCCATTAATGGAAACACCCAAGTAACTGACGATTAGAAACAGTTAGACGATATGCTGAAGTTCATTGATCTGCTGCGCTAGATTGCACCTAGGCCAATCTATCCAATGCTTTAAAGTATAATGAGTGGTCCTGGTAACAAATGCAGACTTGTTATGGATATTTATATATATATACCGTATACACACAGCTTTTGCCGCATCATAGTTGGTCGTTAGCTCTCATAGATCTCCCAGTAAACTCATGGCTGAACGCCAGACTGATGTGATCCACACAGGGGCATAGTCGTTCGTATGCATAAGCTCCTATAGCAAGATTCGTTGTGACAGTCATCGTCTACTTTATAAATCTAATGAACGAGCCGAAGACATTGTCGCTAATACAATACGATCGGCGAGGACGAGACAACTGCGCGAAGAGGACTATAGCTCGTACTTAGACCTTTGCTTTCATTTTTGCCTCCTCACGGGCCTCCAAACTCTGTTTGTGCCCAGGCGAGTGCCGAGTCGTATTGCAGTCCACGTGAAGTCCGCGTGCCAAGACACGTGAATCCACGTGTCTTGGCACGCCAATGGAACAGCGGTGGCGACCTTGAATAGTGAATGGGCGATCATGGGCATAATAAAAGTTCCTTCGCGCGTCATTGCTAACAATAACCGAGCCTCGTGGAACGCTTACGGCGGGCAAAGTCTTCAACAAGAGACCATCAAGAAGGCCAAGCACAATCCTTCGTCATCTTCCTAAATGTAAAACGCTACTACTAATATGATTGCATACATATATATACTATGTGGATTTAGAAGAATCTGTGTCTAAGGATTTTAGTTGAGTTGAAGAGACAACGCAAGCGCTACCGTAGCGCGAATAGCCTGTCGACGCATTTACCTTTAGCCATCACAAGAGCTTCAGAAAAACCAGTAATGACTGCTTATGCCGTTAAGAGCAACGAAGTCGACAAAGAAAAGCAGATGTCTACAGACAGATACAACGTAAGTTTAGCCCTCGACAACGTATCGCCGCAAAACTGTTCTACGAATTAAAACGCTCACTCGATATTATTTGTTATCGGAATTCTTTCAATAGTTGACGCATCCCACAATAATAGTCTAATAAAAAAATGCAACATAGTTCCATTGTTACCCCATTCATTCTTATTCCAAACTTCGGTATTTCTTTGCAGCTAATTAAAGCCTGATTAATTATTTATTAAATTAATAACAAAACAAATGAATCAGATTTACCTACCTAAATTTACCTACAAAGATCGTCACTGAGCATGCAAAGTACTTATATGAGCCTTCCTCGTGCCGTATACGTTAGAATAGTCACAGTCACGTTAGAATATGACATAAATAGCTTCACTATGCACTATGAAGTTTTTATTAGGTAGTCACAGCGGTCTCTGTCTGAGTTTCTCTGACAATGATCGCCCATTACTAGAATAGTGAAAGCGTTTGAAACAAGCGATACTTTGATGACAGTGAAGATATTACCATTGCTATGTCGTATCTTCCAGAGATATGTCCAGAACCGTAATAAGTGCGTCTGCAATCGCGTTTACCTTAAGCGTAAATGATAACTTTACGAAGGCTCTATAAAGTGTTCCGCATTGATAAAAGGATCGGTTCTTCAAAGACATCATACCAGGTAATTAGCTTGTCTAGCAGTCTATCATTTAGTGAATAACCTAATACACATGTTTAGGGCATATGATTATATTGTTATATATGTTATAGAAGTAAAGAACATACCTTCAAGTTCGTAGAACATATCTCTGCCTGGATCGTGAATGTATATACGAATGATGGCCGAGTCAAGATATTCCATGCTGAGCTGCCGTGGAAAAGATCTCACGAACAACGCTTTTACCGTATCCATTGAGGTAATTTCATTCGGGAGAAGCGCTCGTCGCGTCTCGTTTCGGTACTGTAGAAACACCAAGCCTGTTGTGGTTGTGGAAACAAGTCCAATAGAGGTTGAGAGCCGGGGTTCGGCAGATCCCCAGCGAGGACAAGGTCGAAGGAGTAAAGTAAGTTTGCAACAGCGAAAGGTGAAGCATTGAGTTAGAGGAGGTTTGTTACAATTTAAAAAGAGCAAACATGAACGCGGCACTTTTTAGACAGACCGTAGCGTTGTAATTTTGCATGGACTAGTTACTCTCTCTCTTAAGAACGTGTGTGGCCCCTTGTCACGCTGAAGCGGCTTGCCGTACTTGGAACATGCGATTCAACAATGCGCGTTATTTTACGATATCGTACAAAATGTTATACATATAGAACTTGAGCATTCGGTTAAACCGATGACTTTTTATATGTTTGTGTGTTACTGGTGACAATCCTTAAATATTTCTACATTCAATAGACAAACAAGATTCGAGGGTCAAGTACAAATCTAACTGGTCCTATGTCGGTGTGAAAGCATAATGGTGTATATGCATTAACTTTTCTCTAGCTTCCTTAACCTACCACTCACAATAGAGAACCAAACAAACTGAAAACCAACGCACCATCTCAGAGAACAGCCGTTTATTAGTAGCTAGAATGTGGAAGATTAGTGCTAGATAAAGAGGCATAGTTAGTTACACCTACCCAGGGACATCATCATGGCTGAGCCGTATTCATTATACGCGTAGATGCCGCCGGCAAACTCGGACGGGTCTGTGACAGTAGTACGCAGTGTCGTCGTTGTTGTTGTTGTTGTCGTCGTCGTCGTCATCGCCGTTGTCCGCCGTTGCCGATCCGAGGTTCGTCGAGATGAAAACAGACGACCACGGGCAATAAGGGGTAATACCGGTAATGCCGGCGGACCCGAAGCGCCCCGAGTACGGTCCGGTGAGCACGGGACACACGTCAACAATGGACGTTGGCGATGATGATCAAAGCATTGACGATGATCGCACAGACATCGGCGATCAGCGCCACCGTCAATAACAACAACACCGCCGCCGCCGCGAGACGACGAAGTTACACGTTGACGAAGCGCACGAAGAGGTTCCAAGCAGCAAAGGGAAGGAAGGGATAAGGTACGGCAGACCGCAGTGGTTAATCTACGCCTACGAGCCACGATGCCGGTTTTTGCTGGGGAGGACTTGCGTCTTAACCTCCCAAATGTGAGTCACAATTAGTTACTGCCAGCGATTATAGTGTAGGATGACAAGTTAATTAGGGCAGGTGTAAAAGATAGCAGCGACCACTGGAAGTAACGAAAGCGGTTGGGTTGCGAAGCCTACGTGTAGAAATAGTGGTGGCGCTGGGCGAAAGCTTCGGCGATGTTATCAAACAACCACAGACGATACTGTAGATTTCACATACATTCGTTTGCATGCGACCCATTAAAAAATTATATGTTGGCACAATCACTAGGTCTTTAGACGTTAACGCGGGAACAGGCAAGAGAAACTATATTCATGACACTGGTAGGGTGAGAAGATTATTTCTATCGATATAGCAGCCACCTTGTGAGTATCATACGCGTGAGAATGAAAAGCACTTCAGACGTTTCAACTTTCGGTTTCAGCACATCTTTGCTCTCCTCTCTTTTGTGAGAGAATGAAGTATTCCAACAGTACCCTGCTGCACTTGCCTGGTTCATTCACCCACAAGGCTTGGCAAAGAAACCGAACTCACACGGTCGGATGGTTAGTTGGCTTCTAGATGCCCAGTGTATCTCAAGCGTTTTGAAAGAGTGAGAGAAAAGGAAAGCCGAAAGGGTTCTTTGTCAGGGGTGAGGCACTTTTGGCGAAGGGTGGATCGCGCGCTCGAGCCCCGTGGGTCAATCCCACCTGCCCTTTACACTATAGGCATTGGGGATGCTGCAGGCATCCCGTTATTCGTCCCTAGGACCCTTTCTGCTCATGGCGGCAGCAGCAGCAAAGGAAGCTGAAGGGGCGATAGTTCGGGAAGTCGGGGGGAGGCGCAGTAGCAGCAGCGGCGGCAGTGACGTGTCACTGAAAGACCGCAGAGGAACGTCCTTCTGGGCAACCTCTGGACGGCCCCAGGCAGCACCAAGACGTCCCGTTTTGTCGACAACGTAACGCTCTCTGGTTGCGACGATAAAATACCGATGTCTGGCCTGTGCTGCTCCTGTTTTAATCGCAGTGCGGGCGACCGACCCTTCAGACATTCACCCCCTTACTTGGCCTTGGTGATGTAGCTTGCAAGGAAGAACTCGCAGTCATGCCATAGCACACTATACGATACATGTTGTATAGTGTACTCTACCTTTTCTTTCTCATTCGTAAAAAAATACGTTTGTGGTGCAGCGGCTGTAGGAGCAGCAGTAGCAGTAACAAAAGCCAGGCGCCGCACGCAGTCGTTGTTCGAGATGGGGGTCTGACAGGATCCTTAGCGGGTCTCCGGCAGGACCATCTCGAAAGGTCAATCAGGGTGTGTCCTGCAGTGCGGGAGTAGGTCGTGACCAGCCTATATGGGGCTGAGCTCGGGCGGGTAAACGGGCCGGCGGTCTGCACTGTTCGTCTTCGTACTACGAGAGAACAGCAACCGAGAACGAGTCGACACCGGCGCGGCGAAGGAGAACCCTCGCCGCCCGGCCCCTCTGACCATCTGGCACCAGAGCGCAAGGCATCCAAGGACGACGGTGAAATTATCCGCGATTGGTGGCCCCTTCCGGCTGGCATCAGTCTCTTTCTCTTTCTTTCACACTTGGTTCCTCTCGTCTAGTGGCCGCCATTCTGACCGCCCTCTACCTCCTCTGCCCACTTCCTTCCCGGCCTCTTCGGGTGTTTGCCCCCATTTATTCTGTTTGCTTACGGTATGTATAGACATACAGTTCGGGCAGAAGGAGTCATGCATGGAGGGTAACGCCATCTTTTTACCTCCTGCAAGCCAAGTAAGCATCCGTCAAGACCTGACTGCGTCATCGCGCGCTCTGCCAGCTAAACCCAGTATATCATTGCTAGTCATTTCCGGCGGCAGCAAGATGCCTTGTTCGCCAGTGCCTTTGCCTGCTTCGAGGGACTTCTCGCATTGGCCCGCAAGGATTCGCGTTCAACAAGAGATCTGTCCGACCCATATAACCAAAAGGACACCGTTGTAATTCTGATTACACTTAATACCCGGCGCGCAGGGAGCATACTGTTCATTTGTTTAGCAATAATAGTAAAAGGAACCTATCTAAAAACTTTCACATTTAAACCTCTACGGAACTTAATTAAACAAGAAGATTTTCTATACGCGCCTTCTTCATTATTCTTTATGCCAGTTGCGTCAGAACTATCTTTTTTCCTTAGATCCAACGTACAACTGGAAGGAAAAGCTACTGATGAAAAGCATACGGCGAAAGGCCGCGTGCGACTAGAATTGCTCGGGCTCTCCTCGAGACCCTTAGATAATCGGATATATGTACATTGCATCTGTTTAGGCAAAATACTGTCTCATCGGAACCATTAGTAGTTGTATTCACATAAAGGACTGACTAATGTGTGGCGCAGCAATCTCCACTAGAATAGATGTTTTTTTCTATATTTTGCTCTAAATGGGTATCTGAAGAAAGAATATCAAAGATATAAAACGTAAAGGAAACAGAACGGAAAAACTTGAACCAACATTTTCTATAAAAAGACACCCACAATATTAATTTAGTGATGCCATCATGTTAACAACAGTAACGAAAAAATGTTTGAAGATTTTAATTAGGCTTAGGTCTTCCCCCTTGTTGCCAACTATCCCCAACACACGTATATTTTTTTGTCTGGCCGTATGCGAATGTAGATGTGAACGTATCACCCTGTCTGTTACGATTTAGGCACAGCTATGGCTGTCTAGGAATGGTAATCTAGGCTTCCTCGGCCCATTGGGAAGCGCGTATAAAAGCTATTTATTCAGCCTAATCTTTCAGTGCGATTACGGCGGCATCATGGTAATCGGCTGGCTCTGTGGCTTAATGCCGGCTTGCTTGTCTAGCCACAACGTTATACTGCACCGCAATACATTACTTGTACTATATATCTTTACGTTTTCGCCGAACTGGACGCTCTGCCATCGTTATTCATACGAACGGCAGCAACGGCGCTTCATAAACACCTACTACTACTAACTGCTCCCAAGAGCGCGTCACAGTTCGGCTCATTGGTCAGCTCGACTAAATAAGAAACAGCCCAATATAGTAAAGGAGTGTTGCTATTCATCAGGATGCATCAGTATAGTCATCGCTTCCAGAGATGGCTGGAACGCCTTTGAATGCTAGTGACCAGACGGGACTTAACGGTGAGACAGAGAAAGTGTTTTTCGATCTCCTTAGAAAATTCGTATTAAATCAGCTGCCACGAATCGAGAGACCCGGAACTCGGTACGAGCAAACAGCTGTGGAGGTGACGACGATGGTTATCTAGATGGTGGCTATAGATGCAAGAGATAGACGAAGAAATGAGACGACGACTTGTTTACGAGCTATTGCGTCGAATTACGGTCTTAGCGCGAAGTATAAGAGGTCTCTCCTATTTGACAGCGCCTTCGTCCTCTTTTTTACATCACCATTTTACCGCCATTTACACCAGCCTGACTGTCATTATCCACTGACCATAAGTGTAACGCTGCGGGTTTCAGCGCCAGCAGATGCGCCTCTCCCTGTAATTATGCAGTTATGACTGAACATTTCTCCCTAGCTCTAGCTGCCATGTGCTGCAAGGATTTTTACAATTTACATATAAATCAACTGGACAGCATTTATTTAAAGGTAGTTAACACTGCACTATGCACAGCACAAAAATACCACAAACCGTTTCCCATCTTCGGCAATTTGAATTCTTATTGCTATCTATCAGAACAAGCGTCAGTTAGGAGAGTCAATGCCGTTGCAGAAGAAGAACTGTAAGGAGCATCAAGAACTGTACCAGAATATCAAGTCCTAGTTGCATTCAGTAATGGTGTCTGCAGTGAAGAACTTTTTTCCAAACAGGATCCGTACCGTCTTCTCTACTATTTGTCCTCATTTGCGATGGCCGGCAGTGACAAAAAAGACCCAACTCAGCTGCTTACTAACAACTACGAGATCGTATTATATGCTAAGACATGTTCGTTGCCCACCCTCCTATCGTGTCGGCTTCCTTGTATAAGACAGACAACGATTGGGAGAACGAACAGCTATCTCCCACAGGAGGCAAAACTTAGAAGGTCTCTAGACTCCTTTCAGAAGCTAGCTTCACAACGCCACATAGCTAGGAAAGACATAAGTAACAAATTTACGAAGAGCAAGAGTAATTCGGTTAGACCCACCCTATTATAAGAAGGGTTCTTGGACAGACGAGTTCATCGAACAAATAGAAAATTCCCTTATAGGGAGAATATTAGGCAGAGACGCACACGGGAAGTTCAGTATCGGATACGTACTGAGACAGCTGATGCAGCACAATACGAACCGCTCGTTTTTAAAAATAGTCACTGTCGTTGTTGCCATGAAGTCTTTACTTATTCCAACTAAGTGAGAAAAGTCTCACAACGTTGAATCTGTTCTTTAGCAGCTAGCGTTTATTTCCCCGATAACCGTGTGGAGTAAGCCAAAGGCTCCCAACTTTCTATTTTATGACTTTCAAATAATCCACGAAATTGTTTTGCATCGTGACCTGCTTTTTTTTACTATTTATAATTATGATTTATACCTAACAAGCTCGCATTTTTCGGCATAACCGAAACTGTATGTGAAAAATTTTTGCATAGTTTAATTTTTTAAAGACGCAAAATTCTAGCGAATAAATCTGTGACAGTCAAACAAACCACGTGCCCATTAGAATTCCAGCTGTATATAATGCGAATTTTTTTTTTTATTTTATCTAAGAAGAGTCCAACGAGTTTTTTTTGTACCTCGCTCTAAAATGAGCCCCGACAAAGCTGCTTAACCAAAATTCTAGCACGTATGCATATAGAAGCAAGTTTCTCGCATTTATAATCTTAGTGGCTTAGTTTGCTTATTGTCATTAGAAGCATCACTAAATTCCGCTGAAAAAAGTTCTACATTTTTTTGCATAGAATGTATAAAGCGCTGCGAGCAGATGCGTGGATATTTATATACATGTTAATCGTTAACGTGCCTGCCTTAGATGTCGCCATTCGAGTTACGAAATTAGATTCCTATCGTACGCATTATGGCAAAAAAACGTATGATCGATCCTCGTACGCCAGCCTGAGTGAGTTAGTTCGTGCGTTGTGTGTGTAGATTCCCTAGGTGCTATCCTACGCGCGTGGAGACGTGTCTGTGTGTTATTTTTGAGCAGATGCATCGGGTCTTACCCAGGGGTCGCTCGTTGGTCTTGTTAGGCGTTCTGACAATCGGTAAACTGGAACGCGCTTTTGCACCCCTCCGGAGTCCGGTTGCAGAGGTCTCGACCTCAGACATGATCCCTGGGTCGTCGTCATACAATGCCGCTGGCGGCTGGTACATAGGGGGCTGCTGCATCAGGCCTGGCATTCCGTGAGACCCGATGGAAGCCATCGGATTCATTTGCGCCCCCACCCCACCCCTATCCATCATCGATATCACGGGACCTCCACCTGCACTCGAGGATTGACGCTGCAATAACAAACGCAAAGCATTGAATAAAGGGAAGTCATAATTAATACACGCACAAACACTGCCTGAATGAAGCTAAAAAGTACATACTGTAGCTGAGTCAGACGACATCTTACTCATACCAGTGATACCAATATCCAATAGGAAATACGTCGTTTCGGACAAAGTATATACCTGAAAAGAACGCACTGCCATTTTTCCAACCTAGGTTCTCTTCAAGGATGTTCAATGTCCTAGGTAGAGATTAGTTCCACGAAAAACGGGCCCATTGTCAAAATCAAAAGGTATTTCATAGAAGATATAACCGTCGTGTGAACTAGAAGACGTGGGGAGTGCTTCGTTCAAATAAAATCTTATTAATTCTGGTAAATACATGTTAAGGTGGTAACACTTCGGTTATACACAACAATGCTATCATCAGCTTCAAGGGAAATTGTTGCACTCAAACTCTGGCATTTCTACCAATGAATGGGAGCTGGCCTGACCGCAAAAAAATTGCTTAACATCGTCAACAGTAATTTATCATTAGTTTCGCGTGATAGTTACTTGTCGTTAGTTAATAATAATTGGACCTTAATGTGCCGCTTTTGCAGTAGATTAACTCGATTTTGTGTTGAGGCAAAGCTTCAACATAAAAGCGGATAATTCAGCATGAGAAAGGTAATCTGTTAGGATTACTGAGCGAGGCCGAAACAACCAGCGATGGAAACACCCGCTCCGGGACAACGAAGTTCGGGTGTCTGGTGGAGAGCCGTTTTTAACTGTTTGTTCGGCTCCGAATAAAGATATACTCCTATATGTTATTACCTGCTTTATAGAAGTTCTGGAGGACAGAGTGGATACTAGGAAAGCCTCTACCTCATTTGGGCAATTCGGTTAAACATGTAGACACACAGGACGCACCGATGGGCGAACTCAAACAATGGAATGGAACAAAAGTTACTTGTATATACAAAACTGGCTGACTTTTCAAGAATATTACGAAGGCTAAATTGCTCTACGCTTCCTCTTAGCCATTTTCTAAATGTCAAAATTTATGAAATATCTTAAAAAAATCTTAAAAACTGGAATGCATCAGGGTTCCCTAGGCCATCTGCAATGTTTGTATTGTTGATCTCTCTGTTCATCACTGTTGATCATGTAGTCTTTAGAGGCATATAAAGGTATTAAATACGTTGAGCATGGAAGACGGGGCACAATGAATAATCGGCAGAGTCGATAGAATTCTAAAAGAAAGGATACCTGTTTGCACGTATATGACCAAATGGCAAAAATGGACAAATCATGTTTGTTTGTGTGCCGTTGGTTCAGGTACAGAAAAAGCAACGCTTGCGGTTCATCGATGCTGTTACTTCATTGTGTTGTTACCTGTGTGCAAGTCGGTTGATACGACTGGACGCGCATAGGCTGCTCGAGACGGTAACTAAGCTCCCCATTAAGGAGTATTCTCTAGCATCAGCCAAGCAAGAAGCTGCTTTTTAACACCCGCCCAATCATCGTATATTAACGAGGGTTATACTATTTCACCTTAAAGATAAAGGCGAAAATTGCTGACTTTTAGACTAAAATTTCATAATTTCTTATGTACTTGTGGAAACATTTATGATATTTCAAAGCATTAAACCATATCTCCGCCTTCGGAATCGCGCTGCTGTTGGTCGGGCACGGTGTGAAGCGGGCTTCAGATATAGTGTTACTAGATTATGGGATCACTGTACTTGCAAGCGTCGATAGATATGTACACATACCTACATGTATAAGCGTATATAGGGAGACATTCAATTTTTGATCGCGAAGACACCGGCAGAAGTAGTAATAATAGTTCTAGCTGTCTTGTGTGTCTCGATGTGTTTGTGAGTGTTTATGTATCAGTGTCGTTCTATTCTTTACAAAGCATCTGAAGGTCTTTTTTTTTCTCTAACTTCTATTGGTCCTCACGGGGTTAACAGCAACCAAAAATTCAATTGGGTGATAAGGCCCTTTGAAACTATTCTTCAGAGAAACTGGTTTTTTGCTTTTGCTGTCAACTCAGATGATTGCTTTCGCCTTACATCTTATTCCCGATGTGACTCTGTTTTGTTGTTTTTTTTATGGATGGTTTCAGTAGACCTGACGAGCATTTCCTTATCCAAACCCTCCAATACTCAGGCTCCCGTGTAACTGCTTCTCAACGGCATTGCGCATTTTAGAGCAGACGACGCAAGAAGCGGTGGCATATGCGTCAGTTAAGGCAGCCAAAAGGACATACGTTAAAAACAAAGCCTACAAGACTTGTGTATCCAATTTGCGAGACTCAGAATCAAATGGGAAAGATATGTTTTTCGACGAGTCTTGTTATGCTATGGGCCACCGGTGCCATCACTTCGTCGTTACAGTCCCATATTGATAAATGAAACCTGCGAAACAGGTTCAGCGAATTCGGTCTAGTCAAAAATAAAGTCCCTTTGTTCGCTGTCGGATTTCTTGTTGCTTGCACAGCACAAATAAGTGTCGCTGATTAATTATCTATTATGTATTGGATAATAAGACCATTAGGCGTTAATAGAGTTAACAGGGTATAGAGAAAGAGCGCGGAGAGACGTTCGACTGAAATATTATGTAGAATCATCTGTTTTCATGATAAACGTAAAGGACCAAGAACGACTGCTGATAAACATCTAACAAATTCGGAAGATATTTGTCTCTACATCAAATGAAACAGTACAAAACAGACATAGGCGCTTTCGTCAAGGGGAACCGATTAAGATAGCCAACCTAAGACGTAACTTAGCCCACTTTCTATTGATTTTTTTCGATCCTATACTATCAAACCTTACGGATGCAAGCGTGTAACTTAAAAGCTACAACACCTAGCTAGTTAGAGTAAGACGAGCAGTCTATCTGTATCCACAAGTAATTCCAGTATACGTATGGAAATTGACCGGCACGCAACGTTTATTACGATATAACAATCAACGCGATGTGTGTTCAACTTAATCTAGCGAATTGTTTGTAAGTTAGGCAATTAAACGTTTTTCGCCGAGATAGTAACTCACATGTCCGGCTTGTTGAGCTAACATCCGCGAGATGTCAGTTTACCCCCCAAAAATTATCCTCTATCTGCATTTTACCCCGTTCCAAAGAGAGGTCAGCGAAGTCGTGTATTGTATTTTCCCGCCTCGCGCGGTTCATATTGACAGTAAATACAGTCTTCCGCAGCAGCTAAGTAAAAAGCACAGCTTCTCTTGCAGCCATCTTTCCTTCGCCAACTTGTATCTTTCCACGTTTGGCAAGCCAAACTTTGGTTTTATCGCTCCTAGTCAAAGAAGTAAAGGAGAAAACTGGTAAGAAGGAAACACTGCAAATCTGGCTGCTGCACTCTTCAACAAAATTTTCGGAATCATTGCAGTGTTCAGACGAGGCTCCACTTCGAGGGAACGATATGGAAAGCATGAGTATCAGGAAAAATGATGTTCGTGATTTACATGTATAAAAAGCGCCTACGTCGTGCAAGACAATCCAGCACAGACGTCCTCTATGTACTATCCTGCTTTTTTGTCGTTGAGCACAAGAATGATTAAGGAAGGCGTACCCCTCATGTAAAATGTAATGATAATGGTAAGAATGTTTGTGCAGAAGCTAACGATTTCTATATTTAATGCGAGAGCCATATATGTACAAATCATGAACGTAAAAAGGATTCTATGGCTAAAATGTTGTAAGACTGCGCACTTAAAATTAATTGTTTTTACTTCTGCGAGAGAAAAATAAGTTATCGTATTTTGCATATGGTTTCAACTTATTTTTTGGCTCATATATTTGCATATAATTAAGTATAAATTTTAAAATGTACATTTTGCATAGATCACATTCTGTCACGAGCCGCTTAAACACGGCCACTGTATGGACGAAGTGGAATAGTAGCACGGCAATCCTCTCCAGGTCGTCGCTTTAGCTGAGTAGTCTTTGTATGCAAGATTACAGAGAATAAAAGGCTATAAATGATTACTAGCAAGTCGAAACGATAGTGCAAAAGACGATCATTACAATTCCGATAAGGGGCAACGCCAGTGAACGTTGCCTGAGGCGTTCAACTTTACACCTACAACACTTAGGCGTTCGCGGTTAAGTCGGTTTCGTCTGCAGCAATGAGCTGAGGAAGATGAAGGTTCCTTAATTGGTTCCTGGCGTACAACCAGACGAAAGAGCAACGTTATTCTTAGGACCTCCACTCGATTCCGATGTGATGGATAAGACTCTCAAACATCTACTCGGCCGAAATAACTGTTTATCAGCTACTATAATAACTTCTACAGGGTACACTTTTCATTTTGCTCAGTGTCTTTTTGAACGGCGAGCGAATATACGGCATACGTATAGCTATTGAACTCGTCGTCAAATGGTCAATACGATGTCGGCGGAAGTTCTTCTTGTTCTACTCCTTCATTCTTGGCTAACTCTTTATTTATACGTTCTATAGTTACCATGGCCGGAATCTTGCCCTTCTCTCCGTATCAAAACGTTTTATTTACATAGAAGACTGAGATGATACGAAAATTCAACGACCTGACAACCAATGACATTTTCTAGATAAGTAGCCTGCAGGAATTCCTAACCGTTAACTGTAACTGGCTTTTGCATGCTTTACCTCTACAAAGAGAGCTTGTACGAAGTTAAGCATTGCTTTCATTTTTTGCAAAGAAATTTGCTCAATAAGAGGACTCCTGATTTTCGTATTGGTACACCCACTTTGTATATATGCTGCACACCCGATACGAATAAACAAAGTATATACGGCTTATCCACACCCTTTGTGTCGCCATACTGTTTGCATGTCCCTCTGTGTGTTAATGCGTCGGGCGCCCGTCGCCACCAAACGGCGATTGACGCTACTGCAACGACCTAAGACTAGTTACCATGCGATAACAACTGTCCGTCTAGATCTATATATCTATCTGCTTGTTGTGAAGAGTACATAGTGATGTGATAGAGGTCGTGAAAGTACTCACGAGGTCCTTGAC